GAAGAGACCAGGATCCTGCGCAGAGAGGCAATCTATCACTGCGAGCCATTAAGCATGCACATCCCGGCACTTCCCTGCATCGACGCTTTGTGCAAGCGAGGCCATAAGCACTTCTCCAGCACCGATCACTCCTTACATTTCCTAGGAGCACGTGGAGTTATTGTAAGGAAGATAAATTTTCTTCCTTTTATTTTGTCGTTCTTTTCTTTAGCATGAGATTTATGTATTTTATAGACAAAATAGCTGAAGTATGAATGAAAAAATGCGCTGATAAGGCCCTACACCCCAGTAAGAATATTTTATTCATTCTGTCTCAAGGATTTCCCTGTCAGCGACTTAGATGATAACTAAGTTTATGCTATTTTTAAATACTACTCCAGCAAATGCAAAGGACCTCCCCCCGATGAAAGATCATCTGTAACAAAGACCCTGCAGCCAGAAATAAGGCTGACAGCACTGGCCATGATGTATGAGCCTGTGGAAAAGCCAGCTCCCTTATCAAAAATTCTCTGTATATAGCAGTAAACTACTAAGTTTAGTAATAACTCCTGTAACTTCGGCCCGCGGTTATGACTGAGATACACGAGGACAGTGCTTCCCATGAGTCAGTATATATCACTTTAATTTGGCTCGCTTCGTAGGTATGAGCACATTTTAGACTGATAAAATAACAAATGAACAATGTAACCGAAGTATCCCCCTGTCTCAGTTTTCACAGCCGTAACTTTTCCCCATTTTTTTCTCAAGGCACAGTCGTGCCCTTTCCTCTCTGGCCTCGCCTTTCCTCACCGCAGGGATTAGTTATGTAAATTGGAACTTAATCCCCTAAAGGCAAATTTGCAGTTCAAGTCCAAGTGTCTGCGAGCATGGCCAACTGGAACCAAGACCGTCAGGGGCTGGCGGATGTTTAGCGTTTTGTCCTGTAGTCTAAGACAACCTTAAACCACAAGGATCTCCTCCAGGTTACAAAGGCAACCAGCCAGATTTTCCCCCCTTTCTTTTAAACAAGTTCATAACACAATAGATAAAAGAAAAAAAGAGGGGGAGAGGAGGGGAAACCCTCCCAGAAAAGTGAGCTAAGGCTCAGTGAATTTCCAGCAATGTGGTGAACGTATTGTCTGCCCCTGTGACTCTCAAAGGAATGTAATAAAAGGAAGACAGCAACCCAGCAGGCAGCTTCTCAGGGAGCCGTCTGCCTTCCAGCCCCTTGATGTAACGCTTGAACAGGTGCAATATAAAGGATGCTAAACTGGTGATTATGAGGGCTGTTGGAATGGGTTTCCTCTCTGCTCTCTGATGAGAAGATTTTTTTATAAAGAAACTCTATGACAGGATATGCTGACCTCTCAAAGCCTACCCAATGCAAGGGAAAAACTTGGAGCGAGAAGAGGAAGGTGACCAGTCTAGGAGATATTGACGCCGTTTCTGCTCTTGTTTAAGTTACTGTAAATCAGGAACAGTTCTCGTGGAGCCGCTGCAGCGGTGTGCTTGTAGGACGGCGAGTGGAACTGCTGATGTTGTGTTCCAGGTAGGGCACAGTTCTGCAGGAACATCGATCGTTTTGAAGACTTCTGAGCAGAGATAGGACCTCCCAGCCACTCCCACGTGTGGCAGCATCTGAAAACACTTTTTAAGTGCCTGCTCCTGGACTCAGCAGGAATGGCTTTTGAATTTTTATTTATTTATTTATTTTTCCTTTTTCCCACAACCACAACCATCTCCCTTCAGTGCTCACAACCCATCAGAAAACAAGGAAAAAAAAAGCTTTTGTGTAGTTGAATGTTTCCATGAATCCCATGCATTTCCTAAGCGAGATATACTGCTCTCTTCTTTGTGTCTAATTCATAACACTTCTGTTTATAACAGCAAGGATTTACAGGAATAGAACTGAACAGCAGAAGTGCAAATTGGGAATGTTTAAGTGCACCTTTGTACTGGGGTTCCTGTGTACCGTTCCTCCAGCAGCCCGACCTGTTGCAAAAGCACTGCTGTAACGGAGCCGTGCAGTGCAGCAACAAGAGGACGGCTTTTTCTTTATCACACTGCAGGTGAAAAGTTGTTCGCTGCTGCTTTTCCTATTTATTTATTTTTTCTTTAGGACAGCATGGTCTGCTGGGGATGGACCTATGTGAGAGACGGTGAGACCTGGGCTCTTTCCTCCCTGCTGCTCTGTGTCCCCTGGCAAGTGCTTGCAGGTGCAGCTGGCCCTGCTGGAGCTGTACGGACAAGTTACACGAATTCCTTGGGTTCCTCCTGGGCCTCTTCTCTAAGAGTTATTTATTTATGTGCTCTGTGCTCAGGCTTTCCTTGTTTCTCCTTGTCACTTCATGGTGGTGTGCCATGATACCGTGTGGAGACCCCCAGCTGCAGTCCCACAGAGCCATGCTCCCTATGCTCTAGGATTATTTGTTTTAACTGTTTTTTATGCGATTTCTGACGTTTCTCCTGCTGGACATAACCCCCCAAGGGGCCATTTTTCCCCTTCCTTGGGAAGATATCTCCACAAAACAGGTGCCAACGGGTTAAAAACTCCTCCAGCAGGAGCCTCCGAGAGCGGGACAGGCGGTGGCGCTCGCGGAACCCCAATCTGTCAAAGAGGAATTGCGGAGATAATAGGATTTGGGGAACGGTCGCAACTCATCGCTCGGGAGCGATCCGTGGGGGCTGCTCGGGCGCGCACCCAGCGCTTCGCACCCCCGGGTGCGCGCTCGGAGCCCTGCGCGCTCCGCTCGGGAAGGGTTGGGGGGGGGGATGGGGGGGGGGGGGGGTGCACACAGACAACAAAACCATAAAGAAAGCAGCATCAAGCGGCCGGAGGGGGGGGTTCCAACAACAACAACCACAAGAACCCAACCCCAAAGCAAAGCACGACCCCCCCCCCCGGCAGCCCCCCGGCAGCCCCCCGGCAGCCCCCCGCCGCAGGGCGAGGCTCCGGGGGGGGGGGCCCGTTGGGATCGCGGCCATCATGGCCCGGGGGGGGGCGGCGGGGCGGGGGCGCGCGGGGGCGGGTGCCCGGGCGCGGGGCGAGCGTGCGGGGCGCGGGGCGGGGGCGCGCCGCCCCCGGGTGTCCCCCCCCCCCCCCCCCCCCCCCCCCCTCACCAAACCCCCGAGCGCCTCCCGGCTCCGCGCTGCTACCGGGGGGGGGGGGGACCGGGCACCCCCAGCCCCTCGGGGGGCGGCCGTGTGAAAGGCAGGCTGCGGGCGGGGAGGGGGGGAGCGAGGAAGAGGAGGTGGAGGAGGAGGAGGAGGAGGAGGAGGAGGAGGAGGAGGGAGGAGTGTGTGCGTAGCGGGAGGAGGGGGGGAAGGAAACCCTCATGGAAGTATGAAGGAGATGGTGGGAGGCTGCTGTGTCTGTTCTGATGAGCGGGGCTGGGCGGAGAACCCGCTGGTGTACTGCGATGGACACGGCTGCAATGTGGCGGTGCACCAAGGTAAGAGCCCGGCCCGGCACGGCTCGGCCCGGCACGGCTCTGTACGGCCCGGCACGGCTCGGTACGGCCCGGCCCCGCCGCCAGCCCCGGGCCGCGGAGCAAAGCGGGGCCGGGGCCGGGGCCGCCGCCGCCCTCCCCCCGCCGTGCGCCCCGGGAGCGGCGGGGGAGGCCGGCGGAGCGGTGAGAGGGGAGGGGGGGGGGGGGGGGGGGCTTTGTTTTATCCCCATTGTTCCAAATAACGGTGTCGCCGCCGGCCTGCCGCCGCGGAGGAGCCGGGGGGGGGGACACGGGGGGAGCGGAGGGGACCGGAGGTGGCCGTCAGCTGCTCCCGGGGGGGCACCCACGGGCCGGGGCTCGGGGCGCTGCCCCTTACCGGGGGCACCGGCAGCGAGCGGCGGTCGCTTCCTTCCGTGGGGGGGGGGGTTGGGGGGGAGCGGAGGGGGGGCTCTGCCCGGTGCCCAGGGCCGGTGCCGGGCTCTGGGGGGAGCAGTGGGCAGAGCCCCGAGCCCCCCCCCCCCCCCTCCGCCGCCCCGTGCCCGGGCTCGGCTCGCGGCCGCCCGTGGCCCCGGGTAACCCCCCGGGGGCGGCCTCGGGCCGGGAGCTGCCGCCCCCAAGGGCAGGGAGGGAGCCGGCCCTTCCCCTCCCCGCGATAAGGGCCATTTGCATTTTAAATGACTCGGAGCACGCCCCTCGCACACGCTACCGGGCCGGAAAGTTTGTCCTCGGCACCGACGCCGGGACGGGTGCGCGGTTGCTGCCGTTTAAAGGCGGCAGCGAGGTGGGGTGATGCTGCTGCGTGGTTTGTTTGGAGGAACACGGAGGTTTCTGGGCTCATCTGGCACGTCTGTTTTCCCATCTATTATTATCCCATCCATCTCCCAGCGTATCTCCAGCCTCTTCCTGGGCAGGCTCTCCCTCCGCGTCTTGCTGCGCGCTCCTGTCTCCGGCCGGGAACCTGTCCTGCGCTGCCTCCCCCCGCCTGTCAGGCCAGGTCTCTGGGTCTGTAGGTTGAGCTTTCTTCTGCTTTTCCTACGTTTGATGTGTCTGCGCTCACATCTTCTGCGAGAGCTCGCTTGCAACCAGGTGACTGAAGGGGAGGTGAAAAGAGGAAGCGAAGCTGGCGGGGGATTTCTCTCCGTTCAGTCAGTGCCTGGGTGTCTCCTGCCCTAAAACAGCCCCGCCAGGTTGCCTCCGTGTGACCGGCAGCATGTAGGGTCTCTCTGCAAGGATGCTCGGCTTGTTTTAGTTTTGGTGCTGTAACTCTTGCGTTCTTCCCAAGACTTGTCAAGCCACCCACTAGAGAACGTGCCTCTGCACAGCAATTTGTGGAGGGAGATTAAGGGCACTGGCATCCTCGTGCTCACCTCCAAGAGTAACATCAACACGTCTATTTGCTGGCTAGAACAGTCTCAAATCTGCGGTCCGTTTATTCTTGTAGGGTGCCTGCTCGTGGGCCCGCACGGTTACGGAGATGGATGCGCTCGCTTCGAGGCAGCCAAGCGGGTGGGCGGCGTTGGGAGGGTTGGGAGGCGTTAGGAGAGGGCACTGCTGGGGTGTTCGGAAGGCTCAACTGTGTGTTTAGGGCTTGTAGGAGTCCGTCAGGATGCAGGAATTCATAAGGAGTGTAGCAGTGTGTAGTGGGTGTTCAGGATACCTTCAGTCCCCTTTTTAAAGCCCGCTCACAAACCTAGTAGTCGCGTGGTGTTTTTGGTGGGCTTTCAGTCACTCCACAGAAGCAAACCACTGCAGAGGTTCAGCTGGGCCTTCTAGTCTCATTCCCTACAACCACACACTAGGTTTGGTATCTCTTTGTACTGCTTGAATATCTGCAAAACCAAAGTTGCCTTTTGAAATGATTGTACAGCCCAGTACAGAACCCTCTGTTTATTTTAAGCTTATGTTATAGCTACACATTAAAGCTGATTTTAGAAAAAAAAATAAAAACAGTACCATTTCCTTGACAAAAACATCTGATTGGAAATGAAGCCTCTAATAAGATAGTGAAGAACATTTAGAAATAATATTTTAAACTCCACCCTATTTATGTTCTGCTTTTTTCCTTGTTTTCTTCCTTGTTGTCTTTCTCTGTGAAGCAGTGGGCACAGAAGCTTGCACTGGCTCCAGCTGAGTGCTTGCTTTTGGCCCTAAGCCCGTTGCTAAAGATGGACCCAAGGCAGGCTCCTCTGTCATTGCTTTCATGTAGTTTCTATTTTCTTGTGTATCTGCCTTGGCTCATCTTGCAGTCACTTCTTTCAGTTTAACTCCACAATCATGTTTTCCTGGCTAAAATAGCATAAAAGACGTTAGAGAGATGGAGAAAACCTATTGCGCATCATGTCTGGTCCTTTTCCCAGGGGACATCACAGGATTGCATCCAGCAGGATATTTTCAGATGCTTTGTCCAACCTAGTTTCAGATGTCTCGAGTGACTGGGATTCCATTCCAACCGTCAGCTCACATTTGAAGGTGGAATAAGGAAAATATAATTTCTTCTTTCCTAGGAGACTCCTATACCCTCACCTGGGCACAAATAGCCTTATTTCTTACCCCTGTCTTTGCCAGCCTCTTGCTTTAAACCTACGTGTGTGGTGGCCAAAAGCCCTTTTGGGTCAGAAAAGCTTCCTCAAGGACTCAACAAAGACCATCCCTGAATGGTGAGAGGGAGGAGACGAGCAAAGAAGGTGAATGGTCTTCAGGAAACATTGCCCCATCAGAGAAGGGAATGAATTTCAAAGGAACGGGAGCTGCAGCTTGCCCAGGGAGACCCTGAGACAAGCAGTAGGGATATAGAAAGCAAGAGGGATGCCTGGTGTAGCTGGATAAAAACAATTTTGTTGGGTTGTCAGCTGGAGTCTTGTATCAGTGCGGAACCTGTTTCCGGGGCTAGTCCTAAAAAACTTGAATTCAGTGATGTTGGAAGCATGCTGCAAAAGGCTGCTGCTGGATGTGACTTACAAGTTGGGAGTGTGCAGGGTAAATGTTTTTTTTTTTCTTGATATCTGTGTGAACTCACACTGAGATTACTTCCTTTATGATACTGAGATTTTATCTTAGTCTTAATTATGGTTAAGATGCTTAATAGCCACCTATTTCATAATTTTATATTAAATCACTAGTGACATTTTGGAAGTTAAGGGGTAAGAAATTACCTTGGTTGTGTTCACTAGGCCAGAATTGGACCTGGTTTATGAAGTGCTGCGTTCCCACTTAGGACATATTTTTATAAGGATATTTTATACTGGGTGTGAGCGTATAAATAAGCTTGAATAAATGTATCACACTGGATCTCTTGCAAAGGGCTGTCCGCTGTTGCAGGGTGTGGAAACCGGAAAGGGGAATAAAATGCTGCTCAGATGTAATTTTTGTTTTTGTTACCGATCTGACTAATAACAGCTTTGGCAAACTTTTATACGCAGCTGAGAAATTAACAGCCAATTTAAAGACAGTCAAATGAACTCTCTCTGCTTTTCTTCCAGCTTGTTATGGAATTGTCCAGGTTCCTACCGGACCGTGGTTCTGTCGGAAATGTGAATCTCAAGAGAGAGCCGCCAGGGTGGTGAGTACAGAGCACACTTGTACTTACACGGAACGAATTGGTTCAGAGCCCTTCACACCTCTGCTGGAAGCAGCATGGGCCACAGACAAAAGTGACGGAGCCTGGCATTCGGCACTGCTGTGGTTGCAGTCCCAGCTCTGCCTATAGCCTGCAGTGTAACTTTGGACAAGGCGTTCACCCCTCACCTATCTGAGAAACTAATTCTCTTCTAAAATCTTTCCCCTTGTTTCTTGTTTGTACACCAGAAATAATTATGTCAAACAGCTTTATAAAGCCTTCTTAGCCATTTTGATGAAAACGCCACCAAAGGTACTTTTAAGCAAGTTATCAGTGATGAAATTTTTGCATCTAGGGACCTCAATCTCCTAAAAAGTAATGCCATTCCTCTAGAAGGTGGCTTCCCTGCAGTTTTTTCTATACAACTCCTCAGAAAGTTTTGGAGTGGAGGAAAGTTGTTAGCACCTGAGATGCTGCTGTACAGCGTATGTTGTCGTACCGACAGACAGGATGAGTTGGCATCCATATCTTATTTGCAGCAACAGTCTCCTGCATAAAGTCTTCTGAGTTTGCTAAATAGCAGAGAAAATGACAGGAAGCTGGATCAGGTTTTAGTTTCTGTCTAAGTAGCAATTTAGCAGTGTGGAACACTTTGCGAATGTTCTTAATTAATTCTGGCATTTCCCGGTGAGGCAGGAAAGTGGAAACAATCAGGCCAGGACTGCCTCTTAGGCCCGTCTATGTGGCAAAGTTATTTGTGCAGTAAACTAGGCTGTGAGTTTATAGCACACCAGCTACTCTGCAACTTCCCATGTGAACCCTTATCAGATTCAGCTACACCAACCAGCTGCTGGGGGGCCAGGGTATAGATCTTTACCATGTTAGTTATGCCAGAGATGCTGCTTTTGCCATGCAGTAAATCTGAGACTGTTTCCTCCCTTCACTTCCTTAAAAGAAATCAATGTAGATTAAACTTTGGCTTTTTCACATACGGAATGCCTCAACCAGCACAAACAACATTTATTAATATCTGCGCTGCCTTCTGAACTGATTTAGCCATTTTTTTTCTAAAGTACACACCTAGTGAAGCTGCTGTAGGTGACCTCTGAATACGCAGATCTGAGCAGAACGGAGCAAATAGCGTGCTCCATCTCAGCTGGGCTCTCTGCTTGCTGCAGTACAAAAGTTTAATCTGTTTTGCAGATGGGCGAAGAACTTGGCAAAGATGAGTGAATGGGGGAATTAGGTATCTGTACCATGCTTTATACATTGCATTAACTCATTCCTCATTGGAAGTGGGAGTGTAAACAAGACCAGACTTTCAGACCTGAGCTCTTTTGCCTTTGTAAGATGCTGCTTTTATGCGCACTGCAGTAAAGAAGATCAAATGTGTCTTTGAGTGCTTTTACATCCTGCAGATAGTTTCATAGTAAAGAAAGGAATTTGGATTTCATGAGCCTCCTTCCCCCCTGTCTCCCAGCCGTGCAGGCAGAGAGAAGCTCTTCTGTGTTAGCTACAACTCAGTGTAAGCTGTAGTAGTGCGTGTACACACAAGTCCTTCTCACCTGTGCTCATCGCAAGGATTCTAACTTTTCTCTGGTGCTTTAGACACTTCAAACTGCCTCCAAGGTATCAAGAAAACAATACCCCTGCAGGTGGTTCCTTATTTAACTTGCCCTCAGTGAAATCTGTTAGACAATGCGTGGTGGGCTTCAGTCATGCCATTCAGTCCGTGGCATTCAGCCCTGCTAGTATAATAACTGAACAGTGATAATCTTCCTTCCTAAGCAGAGCTGGGGATGATTTCCTATCTAAATCCTTCACCTTTTCAGTTAAACGCCAGCAGTCATAGCAACAGACACGCAAATGGGTAAATACATAAAAAGAATCTACTTCTTTGATGTAGGGAACAGCATGATCAGAGTAAGGGAAATGAGTCAGGTCTGTGCATGGCTCTGCTGCTAACACGCTGTTTGAATCTGTGCTCCATGGTCCAGCGAGGCTGGAAGGTGTTGGCTCTTCACTGCCCAGGGGTTTCATTGCACCTCTCTGCATCTGGCTTTCTCTAGCTGTAAAAGCAGCGTTATCAGCCTGAAAACACTGCCTTGAGGGTCTTGAATGAGAGATGCTGCTATGTGAGCGCAAAATACACTGTCAACAGCAGGATGAATTGATATTCGTATTTCTTTCACAATGACTGTGTAGCAAACTCCTTTGCAAAACAGCAGTGTTTGTCTTCCCACATCTGCCTTCATAGAAGAATCTTAAAGCAGTTTACAAGCTTGGTCCATAACAAGCGTATTTATTGGCTAAATATTGATACTTTTACTTTGAAAATGAGGTATGAAGGCACGAAGATCGTTGCTGTCCTTAGAGAATACTTTAAAACATCCCAATTTCTATGTCTGTCTTCTAGAGAGACTCCATCTCTTCAGTTTTGGAAGGAGAGCTCAGGAGCCCTGGCTTGGGTTGTCAGGTCTAACGGCTTGGTGCTCTGTCCCTGAGTTAGAAGCCCTAGAGGGTCAGAAACTCTAACCTTCGCCATCACAACCTGGTTTTAATCAGCCAGCTCTGTTCTTTTCCCAGAGTTGAAATAAAAACGCTGGAGACTTCCTCGGCCTATGCAGGTTGAGTGAAAGGAAGAGGTACCGCTAATCCCTGCTCATAACCTCTCCTCAGATGCGCAGGTCCCTAAAGGATGCTGTGGACACTATTGTGCTTACAGTAAGCAACTGAAAGCCCATCCACTTTGTAATCAAATTGTCTAGGAAGCCCGGTGAGCTGCAATGGCCAGAGGGCACTCATGTGAGGGATCATGTGAAGGCTTTAGCTGTCATTTAGAGGCAGGGCTATTAAAAGTCTTGTGTGGGGCCGATGGAGCTGTTAACCCCTCTTGTTACAATCAGAGCTTTGCTAATCGCGTGGTGGGAGAGCTGCTTTGATCTGAGGGGTGGAGGGGAGAGCGGAGGGGCCTTTTCAAGTGCAAATTTCTTATTACAGTGTCTCAGTTAACCCAGTTCTTTCTCTGTCTTGGCTTTCTGTGGTAATTGTGAGAGCTGCTCACCAGTGCCCTGCCTGTCTGGACCCAAACGAGGAGCAAAGTGAATCAACTCCTGTGGCCAGACATATTTCAAGCAAAGTTGCAGGAAAAGTGAGATGTGCTGCCAATGGCACTGGCTTTTGTCCTCTCATCTCTTGTTTATACATTATCACAGGAATTTTGTGTTTGCCAAAGGTACCTATTTGGCATCCCCACACGCTTGACACCACAAAAACGTCTGAGAACTGGACTGAGCCTCCCTGCTGCCCTTTGTGATCATATTTACTATGTCAAGAGGTGAAATGACAGCAGAGGAAACACTGAGTTTCCTTGAGGACGACCACCTTTGTGGAAGGTCCTCGGGGACAGCTCAGCAGCAGATGTTTTTGCTGGAGGCCAGTTATTGCTCAGTACACGGGTGCCTGTTGTGGCACGGAGCACCTGCCCCATCACACATGGGGCTTGCCAGAGCTGGGTGGCTGTAGCGGAGCAGCGGCAGCAAGCGTGTCCCACACACTCATACCAGTACAGCTGCCGTCTCGCTTCGATACCAGGCAGCTCATTTCAAAACTTTCTGATGAAGCACATTTTTCACAGAAAAACAGCTTTTTTGTTGGTGTTTTTTTTTCTTTTTTTTTTTTTTTTTCACAAATCAGACATTTCCGCTGGGGAAGGAAAAGGGCTGCATGTCACAGGTTTTCAGGCTTTCTAAGCAGGCGCAGAAAAGTCAAACAAAACAATAAACGCATAGAAATGTTCCCTGGCTGATGTCACGAGAAAACAATGACCATTTCCTGGGAGGAGCCCTTGGGGCTGTGCGAGAGCGTCCCTCGTGTGTGGCAACGTGATCTGAAACCACCTCAGGGCTTCAACAGGGCTTTATGGCCCAGGGAGAGCTGCACGTGGCGATGGCCCGGCATGGAGGCGATGACGGGCAGGCAGGACCGCAGTGGTGAGGGGGGAAATGGAGCGCAGGCGTCGCCACCTGCTCTGAGGTAGGAATGGCACTGAGGGCCACGGCACTGGGCTTATCTGGCTCGTGCCATCATGCCCTGCCAGCATCTCTCTGTCCCCCTTGTTGGGTGTGCATGGGGTGGGGTGAGGCTGTTCTGCCATAGCCCTGCGGAGAGCCCTTCAGTGGGTTTGGGCTGCTGCTGGCCTTGGAGACCTCGGTGTCCTGCAGATGTAGCATGAGGGGGCATCTCCCCTCACCTCCAGCCACCCCTGGGTGGAGAAATCGGTAATTTCTCCCTCATAGTTGTCCCAAAAGCAGCCATTAGTGAGCAGGCATGGAGTGAGGCGTGGAGCCATTGCTATCCCTCACAGCCTGTCGTGGTGCAGGGCCTGTGCCCTCCCACCCACCATGTCAGGGCTGAGGGAGCTCCCTGCACCCTCCCATGTGTCAGGGACCCTCCAGCATCAATGCTCCCCTCACTTTCTCCCTATTCCAACTCGGGGCTGGGGCTGGGGAAGCTGGGTGTCCACCTGCTGGCCCCAGGCGTTGGGACCGGGCTCATCATGGCCCCTGCACCCCGCTGGTGAAAATGTCACAACTGCCTCACTCAGCATTCATGAGACTGGCTGGAAAAAATATCGCAAGAGAAAGAGAGAAGGAAGGAAAGGGGCAAAGATAGATAATGGCTTTTCTTTATTTGCCTTTTGCTCTCTGAGTCACGGTTTTCAGTTTTACTTCACAACCGCAAGGGCTAAAACTTCTTTTTTAAAAGCCCTGTGAAAGTCAAGGTTCGCCTGCAGCCCTGTGGCTCTTGGGCTGAGGCTTTAAATACATCCTCGTCACACAGGACGATATCGAGCTGTGTCACAGTATCTTTTTGTACCCAAACCGCTTTCAGCCCTTCTTCCACTTCCTCTCTTTGAAAGCAGCCCCATCTTTTATAAGCGTGTTTTAAATTAATCATCTCTTTTCTGGCCCCGTGCCCCTGGGAGTTAGATTAAACTTGTTGTTTCTGCTTAATTTCAAGAGATGTGAACTGTGTCCCCACAAAGATGGAGCCCTGAAACGGACCGACAACGGAGGTAAGTACTTCTGCGTGGAGCCGGTATGTCTTGCAGTGCCTCCCGGCAGCTGTCCCAGGTGCAATTTTTTTTTTTTCCGAGCCTATGTCACCAGAAAGGGAAGGCTGGAGGCTCCAGAGGAATGAAAACACTCTGCCTTTTCTTACAAAACTTCACCTTCTGAAATCACCATGGTGAGAAGACCTTTCCCTGGGGGGAAATCTGACTGACTTCTGGCTGGTATTGAAGCACAGCTCCTGAAATGTGCTGTTTCTTGAAGTTAACCCTGCAGGAATTAATGCATGATACGTCATTGTTTATGGAAAAATGGAAGTTGCTGAGTTATTTGCGTCAGTGATGTGATCCTCAGGTTAATGGAGCCTCAGCCTTGAGTCCCTGTCCAAGAGTAGGGGACCAGAACACAGCAAAGATGTTTCTCTCTGTGGGACTTACTTGTGCATCATTGATGCTTGTCAGCCTCCGGTACTGTGAAGTACTGTGGAGTCTGATTTCAGTTGTCAGAGCTAGCAGCAATTTATGCTGCTGGCTGTATGGATCAAACTTGTTTTTCCTCAAAATCTTCTTATTTTTCAGAACAGCCTCTCTACCTACCTGCCACTTACCTTAATACACTAAGAGCTAAATTAGGCAAGGGGGTCTTTATTATAATAGATCCCATATTTAGAGCAGAAGCCCTAAGTTGAGGATATTTCGTAAAAGTGTCCATTAGGGCTATCATAAATACTGAGAGCCTTAGTGCGGTAGTAAAAGTACCATGTTGGGGGATTGTTTTATAACTACATAGCATCTTCTTCCAAACATGTTATTATGTGGTTTGGTCAGGTCCCTGTAGACAGGCACAAGAAGTGTTATAAACATGCCACTATACAGAATTATATAGCCCGAGTACTTACAGTGCTGTATGATTCCATATTCATGGAGCTTGGTTCTGCCTGCCCAACTGAGTCCATCCTAATTCTAGCGAAATCTTCCCAGTGCAGTAGGCATACCAGTATGGATCGTCCCCCATAGGCTCCTGACCTTCAAGCTTTCTCAGTTCTGTCCTGATCAGATGGTATTTCGATTTACACATTTGATTTGGGAAGTGTCTCGGTGGATTTAGATTTTAATCTAACTTGGCTTGCTGAAAAAGAGCCTTCTTTAACCATTGATAACAGCCAATAAAGGGAGCTTTGTTTCCACTGGCATGGGACTACACGTCAAACTTGTCCCATCAGCATCATTTACTGTTTGGATGCTTTTCTGGGTTTGGCTAGGTCTTCAGCTCTGGGTCCTAAGTCCTGAGGGAATGTTTTTAAGGGCAATGAGTGCTGTACATCTCTTTTCCCAAGGAAATCTCTGCTTTCTTACTTCATCTGGAGGTGGTATCTGTATATCTTTCTCCCACAAAGGATTTGATTCCTAACCAAGTTACAACAAGCAGTATTTCAAATCTAGCATCTAACTTAAATTGGCTTCCTTCCTGTACCCTCCTCCTTCTTTCCCTCCCATGCTTGTCTGCAGCCTTGTCTGAGTATAAGACTCCGCTGGATTGCCCCGTGTGAATCTCTGCTCTCTGTCTTGTTTGCTTCTCCAGGGTGGGCCCACGTTGTCTGTGCTCTGTACATCCCAGAGGTGCAGTTTGCCAATGTGCTCACCATGGAGCCAATTGTCCTGCAGTATGTACCCCACGACCGCTTCAACAAGGTAAGGTCTCCTCTTTCTCCTGCTGCCCCAAATGTACTTGCCCTGTCGTGCTTTTCTGCGGTTGTCTGTGTCCTCCATGTCTCCTGTCCAATTTATTTTAATTTCCAGGTACTTAGATCCCTTTAAAAATAACTAACAATGTAAATGTAAATTTTCTTGCAAATAACTTTTGATGTTCTGTTTTCCTCTCCCTTAACTTGACAACCTGAGCAACCCTGCCACTCCTTGGAGACGCATGTTGGTTAATCCATATTTTGATCAGACCCATTTGTTATTTGGGAGAAAAAAAAGATGCATAAGTTTTGTGCATGCCACCGAGAAATAACCCAGAACTGCTGTCATAGGAAGGAGGTGACTGGACACAAGTTATGAGTTCTTGAAGGCTTTGCCTCCTAGAGTAGAGTGAGAGTGAAGTAGTCTACCTCTCTGAGTGACCATTTTTTTTCTTTTTTGCAGACCTGCTACATCTGTGAAGAGCAGGGCAGGGAGAGCAAAGCAGCCTCTGGAGCGTGCATGGCCTGTAATCGGCACGGCTGCCGGCAAGCTTTCCATGTCACCTGGTGAGTTCCCCGCAGTATCACCCCAGGAACAGCCCCAGCTACTGGTTTTGCTGCTAGGGTTTTGAGGCTGCACCAAACAGGTGGCATGGGGTTTTGGGCAAATCATACTGCTTTTATTTTAGGCAAGGGGTATCTCATCCTTGCTCAATTTGTGCGGGGAACTTCCGCGGGAAGGCTGAGGTTTCACCAGCAAGCCTTCCCTAGGTGAGAACGAAGTCTGGGGATTTCCCTAGGACTGTGTGGAATTCAAGAAGAGAAGAGATGAGTCACAACCCAGGAATGTTCCTTTTCAGCGCAGCACATACAAAAGTATCATCTAGATGATGTGATTTTAAGGGCTGATATCCTCGTGTACCCTGCAGCCTGAAAACAACACTGCCTGTCAGTAGAACATGGGGATTCCCAGCTTTACGTGGATTCCTTGTTCATGATACGTGTTTTGTTGGGATTGTTACTGATCGCCCAGGCCTTAAGAAAGACAAAAATTGCAAAACAATTTGGTAGGAAAGTACTGACAATATTAAAGGTCATAATATGAATGATAAATAGTCTGAACTCCTTTCATGGTCTTTGAAAGCTATTTGCCAAGCAGGACAGGAGACTTCAAGACCTTGCCTGAATATCTTGAACTGTGTTTTGCTTGTTGATGGGATATGTTTTCTGTCTGTACAGTTGGCATTATCCTCCTCTTGATTTCAGTGTATTTCAGTGCCCAGATGGCTGGCCTCTTATGTGAAGAGGAAGTCCTAGAAGTCGACAATGTCAAATATTGTGGCTACTGCAAGTACCACTTCAATAAAATGGTGAGTTTCTTCATCCCTTCAATGGATTTTATTTTAAGGCATTGTCTTCATTCTAGATTGTATCTGTGCTCTGAGCAGTAAGAAATGCCAGGAATACATAAACAAGGTCTGCAGGATGCTTCTCTTTTCAGCCATTCAGACAGAGTCACTTAGGAATAAAAATAAATTTATTTATTGCATTTTTATAGCATCTTTAGACTCATTTTCAAAACCACAGGCTTAATTCTTCCATCTGCTTTCCCTGACCCTGTCTGTATGGTTGAAAATGTCCCAAGAAGTCAAATGGATGTTTTTTCTTAGAAGAAAGATGCTAAAGCACTGCCCCTAGGGTAAGAGGCAGCTTGAGACAGGAAAAGAGAGCAGCCAGGGAGTTAGTGTACATCAGGCCCTCTGGGCAGGAGGGTGTAACACAGAACAGCTCGAGCTGTTCTGTGCAGCCTGAGGACAGGGACAGTCCAGAAGAGACTGGAGTCATTCAGGGATGGTTTGAGGGATATTTGGGGCAAAGGATTTCCCCCTATTATTTACAGGACTGAGAGGAATCCTTTCCCTGTTCTGCATAATTAGTAGACACCTGCTCTCCCCCCTGCAGCAAAAAGGAAACTTGATCCTCTCTGTACAGGTTTATCTATCAGTGGCTCCTTTGTTGCTGGCTTTCCCACTTTCCTTTCTGCTTATCAGTGCTGTCACATGCAGTGACTGATGTCTTGAGCTTCCCCTCAAAGTCAAACTGGAGGGCACCTTCCCTGCCCTTCAGGTACCCTCAGTATCTGATACAAGCGGAGCTCTGTATCAGATTTACTGATGTTGAGATAGATAGCAGGATTTCTGCTGGTGCCTGGAGTCTGAGATCAGAGCATCCTTCCATACACCTACACACCCACACCCCACGCAAGACCAAAACACGGACGCTGCTGCTCAGGAGGACTGACTTCTCCACACAATATTGCTGCAGCCATTTATCTCGTTGTTTACAGAACAGGTCCTCTTAGCTGCTGTGCCTTTCGTAGAAGCAGTCAGTGTGCATGGGTCACCAAAACCCCAGGATTTTTAGGAGTTTTATAATTCGGCCCTGCATGTTGTAGACAAGCCATTTACCATAACATTGCTCACTGTAACACTGAAAACCAGACTCTATAACAGATTCCTCTCTCTCTCCCTGTCTCCTATCCCTGTTGTCCATCTCTTCCCTTCCCCACTTACCTCAGAAGACCTCACGTCACTCTGGAGGGAGCTCCTTCATTGCTGGAAGACGGAGTCGATCCACGTCCCCTGCTCAAGAGAAGCACGTATCCCACCACGAAAGGCCAAAGAAGGTAAGATCTGCACAGAGCTGTCACTTCAGAGGCAGAGTCGTGTGGGATGGAGGTGAGAAGGGGAAGAGTGTGCAGAGAGCACTGATGGCTTGCTTCTCAGGTGAGCCCTGACTCTGCAAAGAGCTTCACAGTCAGAGGTGTGAGTAGTGGCTGTGTTTCTAAAGACAACTCTAGAAATGTGTATGTAAATAGAGCAGCACAGCCACAGGGAATGTGGAGCCAAGTTTGTGTGTTCAGATTATGCCAGAGGGTTCTTGGCAGAGCACACTCACGAAATGTGCGACTTTCCCATTTCTAACTTGGGGCAGGTCCACTTTGAGGGTGACATTGTGCTATGGTTTCCAGCTACTGACTTGATCTGTGTGGAAGTACTTTGGGCTGTGGTTTTAAATGCAGCAGCTCAGGAACGTAAACTGGAGGTCGTTGTCCTCAGATCCCAGAGCCCAGGCTTTAGAGGACTGATTAGCAATCTGCATTGTGGCTGGCAGGTTACTTGTAGGCAAGCAACAGTAGCTAGCATAGCTTAGGTAGTACATTGTTAGTCAGATTGGCCACCTGCTTCAAATCTACTTGTGAAAACAATTTATTTTTGCTGAACAAGTATTTAGGAGAGCACTGAATGCCAGATCTGACAGGTACAACAGTTATTTGTTTAACTGTGCAGGTTAAGACATACTCATCACAACTGCTGCAGTGTTACAGGACATGTTAACAGCACACCAAGGTTCATAATTAACCAACTGACTCACGTGATGAAGGCTCATATTTCAAGGAAAAACAGCAGTGAATGTGTAAGGCAGAATCCCAGCAGACTTCAGGGTTCTGATAGGGGTGCAGGTTCTGGTGTGGAAGGGTCTATACCGAAAGAAATTAGGAGACCAGAGGCTTGTGAACTGTTTATTATTGTAAAAAAGAAATAGCTCTGATAGGTGGGACATGTGCTTTTTGGAGTATTTAGGTTCTAATGCAAGTGACAGCAAACTAAGAAATCGTCCCCATCTGTTGACGTATACAGCTTTTATAATATCAAGAATTCTCAATGTAGTACCGCCGTCCTCCTTTGCACCCCATCCATCCAAAACAGTGCTGTAGGCTCTGGACCACAAATAACTTTTGCAGGAATACTTTCAGGATGGTCAGATAGTTTTTAATACTTTATGAGCCAGATCCTGTTTTTTTTTTTTTTTTTTTTGCTAGGAGAAATCCAGAATTACTCCACCAAGAAACCTGTAGGTTTATTCCACTGTGGTCAAAAGCCAAATTTACCATTTTGCATGAACCCAGTTGGTGATTCCCATTCAAATAGTGGTGTGAATTTTTTCAGTCTTGCTTTAGGTGTCTGGCTGTTTTCTTTGTTGTTTGTTTGTTTCTGTCTTGTTGCAGTAGACGTCCTCACAATCAATACATCATTATGAATAGTAATAATAGTGACCCACATCCAGAAACAGCCCAGCGACATGCTGGTGGGTTTTGTGGCTGAAGGCTGATGGATCCCAGCCCAGTTTCCCAGGGACAAGGGCATCCAGGCTTTCAAAAGCAGCGTGGCCATCAGTTAATACCTGCTGGCACCCTTCTGGCAGGCCCAGCTGAGAGGCCATAAACCGTGTGGGCAGGAAAGCCGTCTCCCTCTCTATTTACAGAGGTTATCCCTCACTACCCGGGTTGGAACGCTGCCCACCTTGCCCACTTGGTGTCTGGGGAGCCTGCCCAAACCCTACCCGCTAGGTGGCAAACAGGCAACCCTCCCCTCCCCAGGCTGCACGTCCAAAGCCGTGCCCACCCCGCTGTGACACCGAGGCAGTAAATTTCCAACTGCCGACGAGGCTGAAAAACGTATTTGGAGTATTTGCTCCCCTTGTGTGTTCAGCTGCTGCGAGGCGAGGAGGAGGGAGAAAGAGCATCTGTGCCGCGGGCCGGGAGCAGCGCTTGGCACAAGGTTGGCGCTGCGCTGGAACGCGTTATTTTTAGCAGGCGGAGGGGGTGGCGAGAGGGCAGGATCGGGGTGATTGGCGGCGGATTTGAGAGCTCAGCTGTAATTATAACGGGCAGACGGTGCAGGTCCCAGGCTGGGGGCTGGAGGCGGGTTTCTATATTTGCACAGCTTCTGGTGGCGGGGTGGGAGCGCGGTCTCGTGGCCGGCAGGTAGGGCAGGGGAGCGCCGCTTCCCGGCTCTGGCTGGAAAGCAGGTCAGCGCCAGGGGGAGAGCGAAAACAGGAGGACTGCGGGTTTATTTATAGGCTTCTCAGTGGCGCTTGCCACTATTGTTAGCCTCTGGGTTCCTCACAAACGTGCAGAGGCTCCATCTCGCTGCTGCCTCGCTGCTCTCCCCTCCTGGCTGCTCGTAGTGCTTTGAGCACTGGCTCCAGCAGGGGCCCCGTCAGGGCTGGGGTCTCTTGGCAAGGCCACAGCCGAGTGCAAGATCCTCTCCTTCCTCTTAGAGAGGGGGAGCCGGCCTGGAGAGGGGCACGAGGGGTGCAAAGCAGCTGCGTGGGCAGGGTGAGGAAGGCTGCCGGAGGTGCTGGGCTGTTTGCAGGGCTGGGGGGGTGCCGGGGTGCAGGGAGGACGGGTGCGAGGCTGTGTGAGCACGCAGACTTTAAAGGGGTACCCGAGGAGGGGGCTGGACTTCCCCAGGCTGCAGGTGCTCCCTTCCAGCACAGGGCTCCGGCTGTTTTCTTAGAGGAAACCTGACTGAGGGGCACCGGATTTAACCCGCTGGCTTCAGTGGGAGAAGGAAGACAGCAGAGATTCTGGATTTGGACTCCTAAGCTCTTCTGCAAAGCAGCTTGGCATTTGTGAAGAGTCTTGTTCTCCGCAGGACAAGGGACAATTGTGATGTGGGACTGCAACCAGCGTCAGGATCCCCCGCCCCTCTCAGGCACAAATGATACCAGCCCAAGCATTTCCTTCTGTGCTGTCCTGAAAACGGGAAGGCTCCAGGCCTTGGGTTTTCCTCAGAACACACCAAGCCTTAGAGAAACCAAACCCATTTATTTCTTTGGGCTGGGTATTGCCATGTGTGCGCTCTACCCTGTGGGAGCCTTCGCAGGGTTTGTTTAAAAAAAAGAAAGAAGAAGAAAGAAAGAAAACAATAGCCAAATACCAAGAAAACGCTGGATGACGCACAGGGGTTGAATGAAGTACAGATGTTCTGTCACCTATATTGTCTGCTGGAAATGCACAGAAAAAAATCACCACACTTGGTGGAATGAGATCTGTCCCCACAGGAGCGGCCAAGCACGGACTCCAAAGCACTGAGGCATTCGGAGGCACAAACCCCACCAGGAGAGACCTCATCCAGCGCTGTTCTTAGAGAGCACGGGGAGCCCATGAGCAAAATTGGGGGAGTTTTTAATTTGGATAGGGGACATCCTTATGGGAGGAGCAGGGAGGAACGGTCCCTGTCCTGGAATACACCTTGAGCTCCTGAACTGCCTCCCGAGCTGCAGGGGGGACTTTATGGGGACACCAGGCCTGTGGACTGTCCTGCCCCTTCTCCCTGCAGCCCCCAGTCCCGTGGTGGCTGAGCAGATGCACGGCAGAGCCTCCCTCCCCACCGCCCGTCCGTCTGCCTGTCCGTCCGTCTGTCTGTCTGTCTGTCTAGCCCAGATGCCAGCAGAGGAAATGAAGCCGCACTGAAACTCAGCACACTGCAGAAGCTGTGCTGGGCTGAAACCTAAACCCGCGGGGTTCTGTGAGGGGCTTTGTGCTCGCCTCCGAGTTGGTGAGGGAGGTCTGCCTCTCGGGGCTTTGTTTCCACGCAGGCACTGAGGACGATTTTTCCGACTGGGATGCAGGTGGCTGCTTGCGAGACCAGAACAGTGTTTTGGGGAGGGAGTACTGGACCTAGATCTGCTCTCATCTAGCTGTAATAGCCTTGTTTTGTAGCATCCTTGCCTGGCTTGCTGGGGCCTCTTGTTGTGCAGGTGTTTTGCCACCCCCAGCCAATCCTTCAGTTAGCAGGGGCACAGCGACAATTTGAGATCACAAATTGAGATCACAGGGGATTTGGTGCCCCTCTGCCCGGTGCTGCCTTCCTCCTCGCTGCGGCTGCCATGGCTGCAGCCCGGAGCCAGGCCTCCTCCTCCTCCTCCTCCTCCTCCTCCTCTGGGCAGGGAGTGCAGAGAGCCTGGGAAAGAGGGAGGGAGCAGCAGAGCCCGCTTGGCTCTTCCCAGCTCCTGGCTCTGCCCTCCCTCCTTCCCCTGCCCAATCTACTTTTAATGATCCCACTGCTGGTGTCCAGCAGATTAGAAGAGGGGGCTCAGGGAAGGGGAGACGGCGGTGGGGGGAGCGAGAGGGAGCTGTGCACAGCCCTTTTTGGCAGCCGGAGATCCTGTTTCATTCCTCCTGCGCTGGGGAGCTCGAAGGGAGATTGTGGCGCTGGCACGCCCCCGATGCGGCCGCGCTCCCCCCGCCGCAGGCCTGGCCTGCTCCGTGCCCACATGCCAAGCCCCAGCTGCTCGGCCCTGCATGGAGAGAGTTTGTTTTCCACCCAGTTTGTTGCTGGGGGCAGGTTCATGTTCCCTGCAGACCGCAGCTCGCCCAGCCAGCCCGCCTGCCGCAGGGAGCGCCGAGCGGCTGCAAGGTAGGGCCCGGCTTCTGCCTGCAAAGATGGGATGGGGGCGGTGGAAGGTTCCCTGTGCCCGGTGCATCCTCCCTGCTTCCTCCTCCTCCCCTGAGTCCTGCTTCGTGGCACAGCCAGACAAAGTTCTGGGCCCAGAAAAGCCAGGTGGGGAGGGTCACTTGAGATGCGGGGGCCGGTGCTGCTTCCCTCCTCTCCTCTCACCCTCCCCTCTCTGTTTGCACCCTGTGGCTCGTGCAGGAAGCATTTGAAGCCTTCCGGTTCCTGGAGAGAGAACCCACACGTTTAAAAAGCCGCTGGTGTGAGCTGGGGAACGCCCCGGGTTGTCTTAGTGCGTGTCAACACGGGCAGGAGGGACTGAGCCCCAGGACCGACCCAGGGCTTCGGTCCTTGCACCCTGTGCAGAACCTCCACTGGGTAAAGCATTAATTGTCCTGCTCGTTTAGCCCAGGGCATTAATTGTCCTGCCTGTTTAGCCCAGGACTCTGTGTTTATCCAGCGATACTGAAGAAGATGTCAAATCCTGTTGCCCAAGGACACAAAAGCGTTAGAGAGCAGCTGGAGGGGGCCAAGGGGTCCTGCTGGGTGCACGAAGGCAGCGAGCACCCAGCTCTGCAAAGCTCGGGGGGCTGCTGGCTGCAGGCTGAGAGCTCCCGGGCTCCATCCCCTGCGGGTTTCTGCAGGAGCTGCACAGAGCCTGGATAAGGGGATGCTGTGGGGTGGGGAAAGGCACTGGGTGGGCACGGTAGAGGAGCAAGGTGGGCATGGCTGGGGGCTGTGTGCGGCACGGGTTGGCTCCTCGACGGGCTGCGGCAACCCTGGGTGCAGCGCAGCACTTTGAGCAGAGCACGAAAGCCGGGCTCTGTGGGACAGATTTCCTGCGTAGTTCAAAGTGCAGTTGCTCAGCACATGGAGTCAGGGCAGGATCTTCAAAAGAGCTCACTACCCAGCGTTTCGGAAAACCTGATCGTTTATCCGAGCATCTGAATGGGAGCGGAGGGTTCCAGAAATCTGGTCCCTATTGTGCAGGCTGGCTTCTTGCTGAATGCATGCATATGTCCGCACTCCTACATGCAGCCGGGGGACTGCTCAGTTAGCGGGTGTAGGCTCTGCACCGCGAGGGGAGCTTTTTCAGACAGCAGACAGCCAGGATTTTGAAGCTGGAGGATGTGAGTTCGGTTGCTGCCATCACAGCGAAGCTGGGGGAGGTTTTATGGTTCGCGGTGGTGACAGTCAGGACGTTCCTGCCTTTCCCCACACGTGTGTGTGTAGGTGTGGAGGTTCCTTGTCATTAGCCAGAGTGGCTCGGCTCTCTTTTCTCTCCTCTTGACTTTGATTTGTGAAGTTAAACGATTCCAGGGCTGTCTCGTTAGCGTTTGCAGCATCATGTTATAGTCCTGCCTGCTGCACCTTTAGGAGCAAAATGCATTTGGGGCTTGGAAGACAAGAATAAACTCTGGTATTCAGGAAGTTGAAGGACCTGAGTTTGTGCAGTTATTTGGCAAAACGTTTTGCAGTGAGGGTCTGGCTCCTGCTTCCATTTCTCTCTTCTCTGTGTGGCTGCAAGTGGGCAACCGTGTGTCCGGTGGGGCAGGGTGCCTGCCTTCTCTGCCTGAGTTTTTGGATGACTTGCTGTGAAATCGTTGCAAGATCTCTCATCCCATGTGCCCTGCTTTCTCCTTTTGTAAAATGAGATGCTGGTATGAAGAAGCTCTCCTGAGCTCGTTGAAATTCTCTGCTGCGTGCTACCAAGTGAGTGCAAATTGTTCCTGCTGGTGGGATAACGAACAACCGGTCCCAGCCCTGCCACTGAGAAGCACGTAGCCTGTGACAGGCGTAGCTCTGCACCACAGCTTCCCATCTTCCTGTCCTAGATAGCCCACGAGACTCGGGCAGTATTTATAGCATGAGAAGCCCCCGAGTATTTAAAACATCGTGAGATTTAGTCAAGATTTCATTTAAGTTCGTGTCTCAGCACTTAGCTTGTAGAAATCACATTCTCAAGCTTTTCTCATTCAGTGCCAACGCTGTAAATGTGTGCTGAAGAAAGGGGGAAAAAAAGGGGAAAAAAAGATGAGAAAAAACAGAGATCCTTGCAAAATGCTGTAGCTCTGGGAACTGAGGCTTTAGCAGATCTGACGAACACCAGGAGTCTGGTGATAACATGATGGAGATGGGTGGATATCGGGAGCGCTGCTGGTACTCAGTCGGACAGGAGCAGCGAGGCTTTGGCTGGATTTGCCTCCCTCTTCCACCAGCTCATCCCAGAGACAGCCGCTGTGGCCTGGTGGCAGATTTACGCCGGCCCTTCTCCTCCCCCCCCCTTTTTTTTTTCTTTTTACATTTAACTTATTGTTTGTAAGCTAATTATTGCACTTGCTTCTCTCAAAAAAAAAAATAATAAAACACCGTGGAGATCATCCATTACTGCAGTTGCATCTTCCCTCTGCCAGCATCCCATCTCAGGGCTTTGCCTGCCCGAGGAAGCAGTCAGCATCCTCCTGGAGAGTCAGTGAGCTCCTAATGACTGCCCTGCTCTGAACACACCTTTGGTAGACAAGGAGGGCTTCAGCTTCTAGATTAAAGCACCCACATGAGGGAGCAGTACCAGAGCAGCCATTCTTTCCCCTAAAAAAAGCAAGAGGATGGATTTTTCTACGTCTCACCCAGGTGTTTGTCTGACAGCAGATCTCTTGATCCACAGACCAGTGACCACACCGGCAAGGCTGGAATTGAGCACAAAAGTTTCCACAGCTCCAGCCAAGCAGGCCGTGCCTTTAGCTGACCCCAGTAGCACAGAAAAGCTCCCGTTGTCAGCCAGCTTTGTCCCTACAGGAGCACGCGGCTGAGGAAGACCGTGAGGAAGCAGGAGCATGTGATGGAGCACGCTCTCCTATCCTGCCACCCTGCCTGCCAGCTGGCTTGGGCATCCACAGCCCCCACTGACTTCAGTGGGAGCCATGGCCTGTCACAGGCGTATGTTTGCAGTCCGTTCCCTGAGAACATCTCGGTTTTAGCATAAACATCCAGATAGCAGGACACAAGAACAGCTACTTCGGTTGCAGTGCGTTCCCCAGGACACCGTAGCAGCAGGGTGGGCAGCGCTCTGTGTTTCTCAGGCCACGATTTTTTCCTTGGTTTGCAGCTTGAAGAATCCCATCTTTCTGGGGTTTTAGTGCGAGAGAAAACAGGATGAAGAAATCAATCTAACTCGTCTGGCTGCAGTTAGCAGAGATGGACCCAGCCCAGCTGTTCTCTGCTGGGAGAGGAGGTGGGGAGGATCTCTGGGTTGGATTCAGGCGTGGTTTCTGAGATCTCCCCTGACTGATCTCTCTACCTGTGCACGTGCAACACGTGCTGGAGTCAAGATCCTTCCGCTGGCTGTACAGGGTGTATCCGAGAAACCTTTGAAGAAGGGAGAGAGCGAGGATAAGGGGGCACAGAGCCCCTTTGGGGAAATAGCAAGAGGAAAGCTCAGGTTTCTTGAAATCAGCCAGAGCTTGTTAAATCCTTCCCTATCATCTTACCATAAACTGATTCAGGGGCTTCTGTTGATATTCTGTGCTCCAGATGTTGGCTGCAGCTGGGGCAGAGATAGTGGGACGCTCCCAGCCAGAAGCTGGGGCGTGGGGGAAGGGATACTGGGCTCTTGTGGATGGGTGGAGAAGGGAAGAGGAATATGAATGTATGGTTGTAAATCCACCCCTACACACCCTCCTTTCTTTTCCCTTACAACTGCTATTCTCAGCAGAGGAAAAAAGCCTTCCAGTATTCTCTGATTTCTTTTGCAGAGTCGTAAGGACAAGGAAAGACCTAAACAGAAGCACAAAAAACGTCCAGAATCTCCCACCAGCCTTACGCCAGCCTCGGTGCCCGTCGCTGCAGAAAAGGTACCAAACCCGCAGGATGCGAGCGCGTGAGTGCAGGGTGGGGAGAGAGGGAAGGAGGAAGCCACCAAGGCTGGCTTTCCGAGGATTTGGGAAGGATGGTGCAGAAGAGGAGAGAAAGAGCTTTTGTCCACTTATTTCGATTCCTGATTCGTCACATTCTCACTCTCTCTGCCTGCCTCCCCACCTCAACGCCCGCCTTGGGAACTTAACGCGGCAGCTGTCTCGGTTTCTGTCAGCACTGACGACACAATCATGGAGCTGAGCTCCCAAGTGATTGAGCTGGAAGTGCCAGCCTGTTCTGCAGCAGATGTTCAGATTTAAAGCTCTCGCAGAATAGATAAATATCCAGGCTTTGGCCTTTTCTATTGCCACATGGTAATCAGCTCAGGCAGGTAGGTAAGCAAGGCAAGCTTGTGGGAGGAGGCGTTATCCTTTATTAGACAAAATGATAGAGCTAGGGGGAAAAAACAGACAATTTTACATGCATGTAAGATCTTCAAAGTGCATAGTAGAGGTCGCTTTACTGTGTGAGACAACGGGAGGTTGGGTCCTGTTTAGTTCCTCTGTTTCAGGAAAATGAAGGCAGACAGGCACCGTGTGGTGGCCTGTTTTGCTCCTGAGGTAAGAAGAAGGAAGGTTTGGCTGCCCAGAGACTGCTCAGTGCCCAGGGCTGGTGGGGCAGCGGCAGGATGTCAGTGGGATTCTGCTCTTCACTGCTGGAGCTGTGCTGCCAACGTCGGCTCTTGCACCTGGCTGTAAATCAGGACAGCCCTGAGCTTTCTGTAACTCATGCCAGATCCAAACTCTAGCAAAGCAGAATAGCCACAGTGGAACTTGCCTCAAGCCTGCATGCAACAAGGTGAAGGCCAAGTTTGCAGTTTTTCAGTGTCAGGGAACAAGTGAGGTTACTCCAGCGCATGGACCTTTGGAGTTGTGCCCCCCTCTCTGTAGTGGGAAAGCAAATTAATGCAGCTCCTCAGCAGGGTTGTTCTGGTGTGAGACTATGATTAGGGCCGAGCTCCTGCTAGAGCAAATAGATAACATGTCCCAGGAATGTCCTTTTGGGCACAGAAATGCTGCTTGGAAAGGCTCGTGTGCCCGATACATGGCAGGGCTGCCTTGTGAAACTGAAAATTCACAGGCTAGCAGGGTCTGCAAGTGTGAGAAGCGCTGCAGGGGCAGTCTGGAAGAATGAAAGCTCCTGCTGATCAGCACGGGGTTGTTCTGCGTTGGGACTGGAGAGGTTTTTCTGTCTTCCGTGTGAGGCCAAGAGTGGAAGCAGGGAGAAGATGCAGTTTAGAGCCGAAATGGCAAAGGCAGCCTTAGGCTGGGAGAAGCAGAAAGCTGCAGGAGGACGGAATGGAGGACGAGCTGCGAGCTGCAGCCACTCCTGACTTACCTGTACCCGTGTCGAGGCAGCTTAGCTCTGGCTTTTGGGAACAGCAGATTCACCCTGTGAACAGAGCTGTCGGGAGCTGATGGCCTACCAAGATTATTTTCAGACTAAACTGAAATCCAAACCCTGACTCTTGGCCAGCTGGAGTGGTTGTTAGACACTTACCCACTGTCTCCTCCAAAGCCCTGCCAGACCTTTATAAATGAGGAGGGAAGGGTGCAATTGAGTTTTACAGGCAGCTTTCAACTCTTTGTAAGCTAAAATTCAGGAGATCCTAATTACTGTAGCTGTGCTTGAGTGACAGGATTTTAGTGTTTCCCTAGGGAGTTATTATTAATCCTCATAACAAAGAATGTATTTCCCTTGCATTTTTGTGCACAGTTTCTCAAGGCATTGTTCAAGCTCTCTGTTACCAAAGGCACCCTGCACAAACCCCTCGGGGTGGTTGCGTGAGGCTTTCTGGAGAGTTGCACCAGCGCAGCATTGCAGCGGTTGGACTAATGTAAAGCTCTGAGAACACATCCATGCATTAATGTACTGTGTCCAAGCAGTTTCCTTTCTGAAGCCCAAGCCATCTTTGTCCTTTCTGGGTTTTAGCTTAGTGCTGCTCATCCCAGCAGTGTGCTGGAGGGCGGGTAGGGTACATGCAGCAAAACCAAAGCTGGCAGTGGTGGTGTGACTCTGCAGAACAGCACTGCTGGTCCCTCTTGTGCCATCGTGTCCCACTTCCTCATTCCTTCAGGCAACCCCACCTCTGGGTTCCCGTTTTTCTTTAACTTTGCAATCCAGCTTTATTTTTCAATTCCAGTTTTCACCTACTGTGGTGTCCACCCTGTGCTCCCCTCTTGAACCGTTCAGTCACGAAGGTCCTTTGATGTGGTTTCCTCTGGAAATCGGTTGTGCTAGACTTCTGACTTCTGCCAGAGTTCTCAGTGTCTCACTGAAGTGCTTCCCTACGTCTTCTAGGAACCTAAATGCCATTAATCCCTGACACTGGGACCTGACCAGACGTCCGTGCCCTGTCCGTGCAGTGACGAGCTCTCACTGCCTCACTCTGGTTTTGGGGATGAACACACTGAACACACAGCGGTGGCCTCAGCTCTCATCTACACCAGAAAGCGAAACTAGGGTGTGAATTCATAGCACATAAATGACTTTTCGTAATACCTCTTTTGAGCTCTCCTCCTGCCTCTGAAAAGCGTCCTGAGGCAATGCCATTGCTCTCAGAGAGGAGTAAATCTTGCTTGTGGGGCCCAGGAGCATCCCTGCAAGAGAGCAGATGGACTGAAAATCCCCCAGAGGTGCTCTCGGGCTAGGGCTTTTGGATGGATTGGGAGGGATTGTGCTGGATATAGACTCTCGTTTGTTGTCATGCTGGCTACCTGCAGCTCCTGCAGACTTTTTGGGGAGTGGGAGGGAAGCAGAAAGCATCCCCTCTGCGTAATGGTGTCTGGCTGTAATAGCTCCTAGCTTTTTCATGTGGTCCATCCCAAAACCCCGAAGTGCTGCCAACTGGTAATGCTTTTGAAAAACCTCTTGGAAAGATGGCATTCGTGGGGAAGGCCTGGGGCAGAGCAGGGTTTCTTGCCAGGGGAAGAGCAATGAGGCTCACCAGCAAGCCCTGGCAGCCAGGGCTGCTCCGGCTCTGCAGCCGCACGCTGCCAGATGCATTCAGCAGGCGGTGTCTGTGCTCGGGGTCTGTACTCGGGGTCTGTGCTTAGGGTCTGTGCTCGGGGTCTGTGCTTGGGGTCTGTCTGTGGAGCTGGAGCTTGGTGTTGTCTGTCCGTGTCAGCGAGCACACCGGGTGGCACGCACCGAGCCTCCCCTCTCCCCCCCGCCGCCCCCGGGGAGCCGTCCTGCCGCTCCCTGTTGCACTTGCAGTAAATCTGCGGGATCGCAAGCCACCCCAGCTGCCTCCTCCTGCCAGCTGTAGACATCACGATCACTTGTTGACACACACTCGCACATGCTACGTGTTTTGGGCCGCAACATCTGGCTCGCTCTGGGTTTGGTAATTGAAGCCGCGGATGCCAAGGGCTCCCCGCACCCACCCCCATCAGGTGCTGGGAGGGGGAGCGCAGCAGGGCCAAGGGCTGTGGCTGCAGAGCCACCGGCGGCAGGGAGGTTTTCCAGGTTTCCCACTGTTATTTGAGCTCTCTCGGTGTCTACCGGCAGGCCTGGGGCTGACGGATCCCGGGAAGCTCTGCGCCGTGCTTTGCTCAGGCAAATCCGGTAGCGGTGATGGGGCAGGGGCTTGTGGGGGGAGGCTGCTCCTTCCCCCCGCTGTCACAGCGTGTCTCAGCACGGATGTTCGCAGCGAGCATCCCTGAGCCTTCTAGCATCCCTTGTCCTGACACGAGTGTGAATTTACCGGGGACATCAAGGAGTTAAAGGCACAGTCTCCAGCCCATCTGTGTCTTCTGCCCCTGCCCATGCAGACCAGCAGCACGGCGCTGCCTGATCTCGCTGCTGACAGGGTTCAGCTACAGATGCTGTGGCTCGTACGAGCGCTTTGCCCAAGGCTCCTGGCAGACTCATTTGACCTCTACCGAGCGATCCAGCCGGGGAAGGCAGCTGATGCTTACGGTCTGCCCGGGTGGCTGCTTCAGCACATCGCTCTGTGCCGAGTGGGCTGGAGGAGCTCCTGCTCTCGTCGCATTGTTCCTTGTGCTGCGTCCTCCCTGCTTCCCCTCGCCAGTAGTTTAATCCAGGGCAAAGCAGCTCTGTGTTTTCGAGGCTGCACCGGCCTCCCCCACCCCTTCTGCATTTCGTCAGTGGTTCCCTCTAGGAGCTCGCCCCGCCAATCAGGAGGCAAAGAGATGCTCTTCTGATTTCCCATAAATAAATTAATGAATGAAGAGCTTGGGTGCTGCACAGTGTCACAGAGAGGCCGGGAAGCAGGTACGGCCCCTCGGGGGACAGCGAGTGCCGGGGGGAGGAGGTGCGTGCATGCCTGTGCTCGGGTGCCCGCGCGACTTTGGCTCACTTCTCCTGGCTCAGGGGTGAAGGCAGGAGTTTCCCCGCCAGCCTGTCACCTCCAGCTGGGGCAGCAGGCTCATTCCAATGACGTTTTGTACTTGGTTGCTTAAAACAGGGCTTCAAAACGCAACTGCTGCCTCATTTTGAAGGGGAGCTCTTGCTTCCCCAGCGCTTCCCTGTTTTTTTTTTTTTTTTTCTCTGCAGCCTGCACTCCCCCATGCACACCTGTTTGCAAAACACACAGAACGTCGGCGTTTCTGCACATGCACACGTACCTACAGCTTCCCGGGCTGGAGAAAAGCCAGTGGTCTAGAGCTTCAGACCTCTGTGTATGTCCAACGTAAGCAGCCAGCCTGCAGGTTTCTCCAGCCCTGCCTCCTCTAGGCAGCAGCCCTGAGCTGGAGAATCTGCTTCCTTAGGGAGGTGACGGGATTGCAGCCCTCGTTACTATTATTAATATTGGCATGAAGGGAGCGGGGCCCCTCCCCTCCAAATCACGGCCGTGTTGTGCTTGGCCGTTCTCGTGTGTCTCCTGGAAGGCTGCAGTGCCACACAGAGCTTGCAGGCTCCACGGAGCAAAAGGGGGGAAGAAACAGAGGCACGGGGAGGGGAAGTGATTTAGGGCGGTTTCAGTTTCCCTCTTTGCTCCCCAGCTGCAGTGCCAGGGCCCTCGCCCCAACGTGCAGGCTCCCTGGGACGGCTGCTGGAGAAGGGCTCCCTGTGGTGCAGAGGGCTCCCGGTAGCTCCGTACGGTTCCATCTGCCGTGACCTCTTTGGCAAACATTATCTAGGATAGCATTTGGCAGTAGGTAGTAAAATCCTGCCCCCAAATCTCTGGGAGATTGCTGGGGAGGTCTGTGAGGTCAGATCAGCCCTGCAGGTGAGTGTCCAGCCATCCACCGCCAGCTCAGCCTCTCTCCCTCCTCTTTTTTTTTTTTTTTTTTTGCCTTTAATTTTGCAATTAAGATTTATTTCCCAGCTCAGGTTTCCCCCTTCCACCCTGCACTAATTCATTACTTGCCCTGCACTCCCTTCCTGACACTCCAGATTTAGAACATGTCTCCTCACGTGGTTTCCCCCTGCCCTCCCGTGGCCCCGTGCACCTTGTGGGGAGCTCCAAAGAGAGAAATTTATGGAGGGAAAATTTGGGGCTTTGCATATCTGCCGGGACATGAGCCATCTCGTTCCTGTGACTTTGTGAACGCTCTCAGGACTTCCCGTAGCCCCCAGGCACCGCTCTCCTTTCCCCCTCCAGGCAGATGTGGAAAGTCGGAAAGATTTTCACGCTCCCTCTGAGCTCATAAATCAAGAAGGCTTAATCTCCTACATCCAGGAGTCTGTGATGAGAAAATACAGATTCCCCCTTCTCCCCCCCCTAATTTCCACCACTCCCTTCCTCCTGTCTTTCATATTCCCGGCACATCTGGTGTGTGTTAGGCTGCCAGCTGTTGCATTGTGCGGAGTGATTAAACCATGTGGGAGGAATGGGGGAAGATTTTTATCTGGGCATTCATGAGTCTGCATTACAAGCCCTTTTTTCTTTAGCTCTCCCTAAGAAGAGGTCATCTGGAGTCAGGGGTAGTGGAATTTCAGAAAGGTTTTGTGCGTCTCCGTGTCTCCCCTGTATCTGCTCTCAGTGAGAAGTAAAAGATGTCGGCGTTAACGTGCAGGTGTTGTGTTTTGGGCTGTGGCCATCACGTTGGAACCACGTCCATGATATCGATTTGGTTGCAGTAATACCTTGCAGGAAGCGATCTCTGAAGGCTTTGAAGTGACTTGAAGGTGAAGGTTCCACATCCTAGTGCGGGTGCCCCAAGGAATCTGGTTTTCAGTTCATCCCCCTCTGCCCAAATCCCACACTTCTCTCTCTCCTCCCAAGCTCCTGGATTTCCACACATCTGCCCAGCCTCTTCATCCCCCTGGCTTCCCTGTCTCCCGGAGGCTTATATGGGGTTTGGGGAGCATCTGTTGTATGGTCAGATGCTGCTTAACAATGTCACTGTGCGGAATATTTGCTGCGGTAGATTTGGAAAGCCCCAGATGGGCAGCAGAGGGGTTTGGGTGGATGCATTGGGAATCTCCCATCCTGCAGTGAGATGGGACGAGTGAAATCCCTAGGAGTGTAAGGACTGATGCCACCAAGGAGCGGTGGAGGGGAATGCTGCTTTTCTCCTGTGAGTAATGTGAGCTGGCCGTCACTTCGTGGGCAGGGGGAGCAATTACTTCTCGTAAGGGGAAATGGATAAAAAGAGCCCCTGCTGCGGCCACATCTGGCCCAAATGAGTGACCTCTGTGCTTGCTGCTCGCCAGGGCTCCACCAGCCACCATGAGGGGAGCAAAGAGACCTCAGAGGTCGGGAGATCGGAGGTGAAAGGCAAGAAGTCCTCAAGCCATGGCAGCAGCCACAAAGGGAAAAAGACGGGAAGTGGGAAAAGCTCGGCGGGCTTCAGCTCAGCTTCCTCCAGCGGGACCTTCCAGCCTGCAGGTAAGGGGCAAAGGAGAAGCCAGGGAAGAGGGAATGGGGGTGATGCTTCGCTTCACCAGTAAGCCCTCTGAATCTTTGCTGATTGCTCTGTAACCCCTCGAAGAGAAAAGGGAGAGGTCTCCTTGCTACTCTCTCCATGCACAGAGGGAATAACCGAGTGGGATGAGTGTTACAGCTCCCCTCCTGCGCAGGCCTGCTGCACGGCAAGGCAGAACAGATCCAGATGTCTGAGCGGAGGGAGGAGGGAAGGGGACACCGCGCGCAGGCAATATGGGCAGCACCTGCCCTCGCCTCTGTAGGTGGTACTGTCTGCAGGAGTGCTTTAAGGAGTGCCGGGGGAGAGACCTGAGCCAAAACCTGATACCCGGGCTCCCCTGAGCTTTGAGTTGAAACCTTGCAGGGCTCCCATCTGCTCTGATGTTCCTCGGTCCTTTTCCGAGCTGTTGTCAGAACCGCTCGCGTGCTCCATCTCCTGGGACCCTCATCGGGGTGGGAGGGAGGGTGGTGGTGCAGGGCCTCAGGGAGCACACACACGCACGTTTGGGTGGATGAAGCTGCTTTGTGCACCGCTCGTGCTCTCCAGAGAGCATGAGAGCAGCTGGGGGGGTGGACCAGGGCTGGGAGGTGACAGAAGCGTCCTTCAGCTCAGTCTCTGGCCTGTGCCAGGGGACCTGCCTTGTGACCGTGCTCTCGTTGCTTTGCGGGCTGAGTTATTGCCACTGCGAGCCTTCCTACATCTGCTTCCCCTCTGCTTCCCCCAGGCACCTCCTGCAGCTCCTTGCAGTGCTCCCAGGATTTCGTGACATTCCCCAAGCTCGAGCAGGACGACGAGAAGTACCGGAAGCCTGTCTCTTCCTCTTCGTCTTCGCACTGCTCCCCTCTGTATGAAGGCCAGAAGGGGGATATCTTTGAGCAGAAGGTGATCTTCTCAGGCTTCGGGTCCATCATGCGCTTCTCCACCTCGGCCGTGAGCCAGCAGCGAGGCCGTGATGCCTCCCCTGTGGACTACAAGGCCTCGAACCCTGTCAGCGGCCCTTCGGTGGGAAGCAGCGGGGCCGCTGGTGGCAGTGGCAGCAGCAGCAGCCACAAGCGCATGCCGTCCCTCAGCATGGAAGAGGGAGAGGTGCTGAAAGAAAAGAAGCACAAGGGCAGCAAGAAAAACAAGCATGGGCCTGGCAGGCCAAAAGGGGGCAAAAGCAAAGAGATTTTGGGTGCCCAGCTGGCTGGGTCCACGTCTACGTCTTCGTCGCCCTTCTCCGGGGGCTCCCTCGTTAGCTCCAGCATCAGCAACTCCTCGCGGCCCTTCAGCCACACGGGGAACCTGCCCAGCCTCAGCATGGAATCCCCACTGCTGAGTTCAGGTATGTTTCCCCTTAGGGCTCCAGGTGTGCACGGGTGCTCCCAGCCCCGCTCTCTTCAGCATCGTGTTTGGCTGGTGTCTGAACCTGCAGCTGCCCAGGGTCCGGTCCCTCGCTTTCATTCCCAGAAGCTGTAAAAACCAGGTCTGGCCTCCCATTTCCATCTTAGTGGCCATCCCACAGTCTCCTCTGGGTCAGTTTCTCTTCTCCTTGGAGCTGGGAGCATTTCAAGCCCTTCTCCCTCGAGTGCTGGATCACCTCAGCAAGCCAGAGCTGAATTTCTGAAGCCTACAGACAGGGGTGTTCCCAGGCCAAACCAGCACACCCGCAATCTGACCCCAAATGAGGGATTTTCATAAGAGGTTCAAGTTTAACCCCTCTTTTCAGAGCAAACCCTTTCATCCTGGCCTGACCACATCCACGGAGGGCTGGAGGATGCCGTTAACTCTGCCGAGAGGCTGCCATCAGTTCCCGGAGGAGTCCCCTGGCCTGGCAGGGCTGAGGGCAGCGGGGATGCGCGGCAGGAAGGGGTTAAGGCAGCAGGCAGAGGAGGGGCGTGCAGCTCGGGGCTGAGGTTTGACACTGTTCTGGCAGCAGAACTTGTCATCGGTCTATTGTGGGTTGTTTGCAGATGCTCCGATTTAGGTCAGATTGCAAGGGGGGGGGGGGATATAATTTTGCTGTGTGCGTCTGGGAGCCACGGCCCGTTCGTCTGCGCTCCCTGAGAGCAGAGAGGAGCTGCAGGAATCGTTGGGACCTCCATTATCATAAACCTAGGCCAATTTTTTCCCCTGCCTTTCCCCCCCAAACCACAAAGCAATGTTTCAGAGAGGAGGAGGCTGCCAGGCCTCGCTCTCCCCCTGCTCGTCCCCTCATTCTCCTGCAGAGAGATGTTGGCAGAGCGCTGCAGGACCCGACCTGGGGCTGTGCAGATGGGGAGTTGGACGGGTCCCCTGCCTCCCAGCTCCCTCCTCACCTTCCTTCCTCGTTTCTCTGGCCGTGTCCCACCTTGATCTGTGGGCTCCGTGGCAGGGGAGGGGATGGCTCAGCAAGAGCACGGGCGGGCTCTTGACTTGTGGCTTTGGTGAGTCACGGTGTGCTGTGGTTTCTCTGCCCGGTTGTACCGGCTGTGGGCAGCAAATGAGATGGGGGGGGGAAGGCTGGAAAACGTTGTGACACCTCTGACAGAAGGACTGTGGGCTGCCACACCGTCACTGTGTGCTGGGCCATGAAGGGCACGTTCAGCTTGGTCCCGTGCTTGGCGTCACCCTCCCTTTCTGAGACCAAGCCCTGCACAGCGCCAGCTGCCTCCAGGCCATGCTTAACGTGTCTCCTCCCCTTGCAGGGATCTACACCAGTAACAAGGACCCCATTTCCCACGGGGGCGGAGTGCTCCGAGCTGTGTGCAGTACACCCCTCTCTTCCAGCCTGCTGGCACACCAGGGTACGTCGTCTCTCCCACAGCTCAACCGGTCTCCCTTTGCTAGCACCATCCCAGCCTCCTCTTCCTCCTCGGTCTCCACCACGCAGGTAAGAACATCAGGAGCAGGGCAGGAGAGGGCCTGGTGGTCAGGCAGAGCAGGACTAGCTTGTGGGCACAGAGGAGCTGCTTTTATTCCATTTGGGAACGCTGTTTTTCTTCCTTCAGATTGGAGGGGCGCTGCCAACTGTGGCTTCCCTCAGAGGCAGTAGAAAGATGCAGAGGCAATTTGGCATCACAGCCCGTTTTGGGGCAGAGAGGAACTGCAGCCTAAAAGGGCAGGGCACTCTGCACTGGCTGCAAATGCAGCACAGACAGGACGGGACGGTCGGGAGGCAGAGGCCTGGCTGTCAGTGCGTGTGCTGCGTCCCTGCTGCTTGCTGGCTGCTGGCCCTGGTGCCAGCCCTACCTTCACTGCACAGCACAGATAGCTCGGTGGGAGGGCTCGCACCTCCCAGCTGGGTGGGCTGCGTGTGTGCCAGGAGACAGAGCCTGGTCCTTTGTCAGGAGCTCACAGCGAGAGGTGTTTTACAGGGAGGAGGGAGTTAGTTTTACAGCTCCGGTGTTACGCAGCTCATTCAGGCCTCTTGGCTCTGAGATGGGGCTGGGAAGATTTCAGCTGTCTAGCGAGACTTCCAAGAAGATATTTTTAACGCTCTCTCAAGACCAAGCTGGGTTCAAGAGTCAGGAAGAGGAGGGATAATGAAAAGTTATTTTCCTCTTGCATTTTTGAGAAGTAATTTCTCTCTCTCTCTCTCTCTTCCCCCTCTCCCTCCCCCCTGTTTTGCCATGTAGGTGTTCTCACTGGCAGGTTCAACATTCAGCCTCCCCTCCTCACATATTTTCGGAAGCCCCCTCACATCTGGGCTGTCAATCAACCCGCTCCTAAATCAGTCGGAAAGCAGCCGGGCAGGTACGTGAACCAGAAGGTATGTGAGCTTGGGCTCCCGAAGGGGTCTCCCTGGAAGAGGCAAGACAACCGCACTCATAGTTCTCCAGCTGCCCTCCCTGCTTGCTCCCATTCCATGCGTGTGACAGCCAGGGGCTAGGAGAGAGGGACAGTGCCTTTTTCCCCAGGCCAGGAGGTGCTTGCATTGCCCTAAGGAAGTTTTGGCCTTCGGTCCTGTAAAAGCACATCTGCTGCTGTGTCCAACGGCTAACGCGTGTCCCTGGGCACGTGCTGAGGAGGTGCAAGAGTGGAAATCCTTCCCTACGGAAATCTCTCGCCTTTTTACCTACTAAAGCTGTGCAAACCTGGTGAAAACTATTGCGAGCTTTTGCTTCCTCGAAATAAGCTGAAGGGTTTCTTGTTGTTGTTGTTGTTTAATGAGAGAGATCTTGCACTCTTAATGTTCATCTCCCACCTCTGTTTTGAGTTAGTTTCTGCTCTTCCGCTTTGGCTTTGTCATGAAATGCAAAATTCACTGTTTTCAACTTCCAAACGTGAACGTGCCAACACTGAATTGCTTACAACTGCTCATTTTTTCCCACCAAGGCAAATTCATTTTTCTTGGAAAGTTGCCTGGTTAATAAGCAGGAAACTCGAAGCATCATAAGACGACTTTTTTTTTTTTTTTTTTTTTCCGAGCAGAATGGGCCTGATTTTGGTTTGCACCAGTAGTTAAACAAAAGCACCCTCCTGGTTTTCAGATGTTGCAGTTAGTGGTGCGACTGTCTCCTGCTCCCCTAGCCCAGAAACATTGGCAGCTCGGCATGCTGGCTGCTGAGCTTGGGAGGTAAAACTCTGCCCAGCGTCACAGGCCAGGACTGTAAAAGGCACAGTCCTTAGGGCTGAGTTCTCTGGAGAATCTGACGCCGGTGTGCCCCTGTTCGCCTTAACCAGCGTGCATGCCTGCATGTGAAGCATGAATGAACTTGTGTGCTTGCTTATGACCTCTGCAAGCCCTTGGACGTTCCCTGTCTGTCTCTCTGTCACTGGCAGCGCTTTGTCTGCATGCCCCTGCTGGCAGCTTGTGTCTGCTCGAGTGCCACGGGGAGGTAACCGCACAGCTGGCACCAGGGGAGTGAGGGCACTGCATGGGAGCTCTGAGCCAGGCGTGATTCGGTCACCTGGAATTAAGGAAGGCATGGGATGATTCCAAGAGTTATTCTTCCCTTGCGGCAACCGACAGGAGAGAGGAGATGACCCGCTGCCACTTCCCCTTTGCTGTTATTTTGGCAAAGTGCTGACAGGAGAAGGAAGCAAGTCAACTTTCAGGAACAGCCTTGTGGTTCAGGCACAATACAGCGCTCAGCAGTCTGTTCCAGCCCCGAGGCTAATAATGAATGAATCATGTGGGCAAAGCCCAGCATCCAAAGTGCTCGAGAAAGCTTGATCCTTAGTTTCCATTTCCAAGATTGCTCTTTTTGTTTGTCTGGGATTTTAGGAGTTTCAGGACATGTTTCTTCCAGTTCCAGGCAGCCTTCAGAACAGCTTCTGTTGTCACCTTTTAAGTTTTCTCCATCACCATCTCCTCTTGCTGGAGCTAGTGACCCAGAGGGTGTTAAGCCAAATTCTCCTTTTTTCCAGGGGGGTTAATTAACATGCATTAAACCTCCTGTGTGGCCATTTTCATTTTAAAGTGTGACGACTGCTTTAATCCCAAGTCGTTAACAGAGTGGTTGTGAAGTTTTAAGTATTCCTGCCTTGTCTTTAAAACAGATTACCTTTCCTGAGAGTGTCTGTGTAGACAGATCCCCTGCAGACATAGATTTCGTGGCAGCAATATTTGAGCTCTTCGTGATTTTAATGTGATGTAGGGAAATGGTGTTATCCTGTCTTACAGATGGGGGAACTGAGAAACTGTTATCACTGATGCAGGTTGATACCGGGTGCCTTTGGCAGTGTAAAAAGTCTGATTCTTATCTTCCCACTTGCTTAGCTACTGTCTAGTTCATCCTCCCACGGCTTGTCCTGGATCCTGCCTCATTATGATGACAGGCCAAACGTATTTATCTTCTGCAGTTGCCTCCAAGCCTCTTTTTCCTACTTGCTGCCCTGCGAAGTGCTGTCTCTGTGTGATAACTCAGTCATCTCCCGGTCCCCCAGACAACAGGGTGGTGTTGGCCAGCAGATAGTTGAGGATGGAGCCTGGCTGCAGCAAACTGGCACTGTGTATATGCACACAACCTCCCTGGTATGTGAGCAAACAAGACAGGAACACGCAGACAGGCAGAGCTTAGCCAAATGTTTATTCTGCCCAGAAAGGTGAACCAGTTCTAGCTGATGGTCAGGAAGATGTTCCCACATGGACAAAGGGGTGAGGATCGGTCTCATACCTAAGAGCTGCCGAACAGCAGCTGCACGTGCTTGTTCTCAGCAGCAGAAAACACTGGCAATAACTTATTGCCCTGCTCAGGGCACTACCCTGTAAATCACAGCGCCTTGCAGTGTTCCCTGCAGGAGACTTCCTGGATTCTTGCACATAAGAAACGTCTCTTATTGTGTGAAGAAGAGGAGGGGCGAGCCAGCCAGCTGGTGCAGGCTGTAGTCACAACATCTGACACGTCCTGGAGCGAGGGGAACGTGTGTTCACAGGCTGGCAGGCTCGGGGGATGGAGAGCAAATGGCAGCTGAATCCACCTCGCTCCTTGCTCAGTGTTTGGATAGGAGATGTCCCTCACGGGCACACACTCAGCAGCTCCATCCCTGGCACTGCGGTGCTCAGGACAGAGGGGTGGCCATGGGGGTAGCTCCTGGACACCTCTTTAAGCACCTCAGAGAGGAGCAGAGCACCTGGAAACGCTGGGGCGCAGGGGAAGGATGCTGAAGGCGCGGCGCTGCGGTGGCACCTTGGAGAGGTGCACCAGGGCGCACGGGATCCATCCTGCGGCTCAGCCATCGCGCATCCCCCCCGCCTTGCGGCTAAAGGGAAAGGCTCCAGCTGCCAAGGGGGGGTCGGGGAGGGGGGGCAGCAGCCCAGCCGCAGGCCCGCAGAGGCGGGGGGGGGAACCGCGGGGACACGCGGGGACACGCGGCCCCTCCTCTGTCGCCTCCCCCGGGCGGCGGGGGCGCATGCGGGCGGCCGGGCTGCTCCGTGCTCCCCTCTAGCGGGCGCCCACCCCCGGCTGCCGGGCACCTGCCGGCAGCGGCCGCCGCTGAGCCCCCTCCTGTCCCTCTCCCCACGCAGAGCCCGACCTGGAGGACTGCAGTTTTGGCTGCCGAGGGACGTCGCCGCAGGAGAGTCTCTCGTCCATGTGAGTGTCCTTCAGGAGCCCTCCGCCGCGCCCCGGGGACCGCGGAAAGCAGCTGGGGAGGGAAGGGGGGGGGGGACGCACGGAGCATCTTTCCTTCTCCTGGGGCAAGGAGAGGGGCAGCAGGGGTGGGGGGAGGCAGGATGCTCAGCCGATATCGGGGTGAACGGGGATGGAGCGGAGCCGAGGAGATGGAGGCGGGGAGGGACGCGGCCGCTCCCAGGCAGAGGAGATGCAGGAGAAGGGAGCAGGGTGCGGGTGCAGACTAAGGGAAGCGTCACTGACAGCCCCCCCCTGCCTCCCCAGGTCCCCCATCAGCAGCCTGCCGACCCTCTTTGACCAGACGGTGTCCTGCAGCAGCAGCGGGCAGCTGGAGAATGTTCCCCAGGCCACCCCAAACATCGAGCAGCTGCTGGAGAAGCAGGGCAATGGGGAAGCCGGCGTAAACAGTGAGTCGCTGGGGGCACGGGCTGCGGGAGGAGAGGTCCTTGTGCATGGTTTTGGCCGAGCCAGCTGGGATTTTGCCCACGGCAGAGGAGCCACGCTGGGGACAAAGCGCTAGCCTGGGCCATGGGGGGGTAGCTGGCAGCGGGGCTGTGATCTGCAGCTCAGTCTCATCCCCCAGCGTGGTCTAATTGCAGTACCCCTGTGTGGTTCCCCTTCTCCTCTTCCCTCTGTCCCCCATCCTCTCCCCCGACCCCGTCTCCTTTCCCTTCTTCCGTTCCCTGCAGTTGTAGAGATGCTCAAAGCCCTGCACTCGCTGCAGAAGGAGAACCAGCGGCTTCAGGAGCAGATCATGACGCTGACAGCCAAGAAGGAGCGCCTGCAGCTCCTCAACGTCCAGCTCTCCGTCCCTTTCCCGGTGGTGACCAGCAGCAACGGCCCGGGCAGCCAGGCCCAGTACATCCTGCCTGCCAACGGTGAGGGGCAGTGGCAAGTGTCACCCCGTGCCATTTCCAGCAGTGCTTCGGGGTGGGCAGGGGGGGTCACGGCAGGGAGGATCTGACCCATTTATCTCGCTGCAGCCGCTGATGGAAGCGCTCTCCCTTGCCATTGCTGTGGCAACGTCAGGCTCCACCCCTGACTCCGTTCTCACTTCTTTCCTCCTTCCAGTCTGCAACAACGACTCCCTGAGCATCAGCAAGAGCCCGCCATGCAAGAACAGCTTTGGGATCGAGAACTCGCTCTCCACTTCCTCTGAGGTACAGGGGCCACCGCCTCCCCCAGCCAGCTGGGAAAGGGACCTGGGGCGGGACCAGAGCAGTGCAGTCCAGTGCTCTGACGTGATGTCCAGCTCATAAATCCGAGTAGTGAAGGCCCAGAAATCAGCTTTCTTTCTCTGGAGTGGCCGCTCTTCGGTTTATCTCAGTGCTGAGGGGAGCTGAGCCTGAGAGCAAGAGGCGAGAATGCTTCTAGGTTATTCTGGCTGCGCTTGCAGACATCCAGCAAAGTACGTCTGAGTTCTGGGACTTCTCTGAGCATACACCTGCACTCACAGCCCCCCTTCCCACCTCCAGCTCCTGTCCAGAGCCCCCCCTGGAGCTGAGCTGACCTTTCACAAGCTGCCCCAGTCCGATGCTCTTATGTCCGTTTCTCCCCCAGGACCCTCATTCAGGTTGCCCCAGCAGGAGCAGCTCTTCCCTGTCCTTCCACAGCACTCCTCCACCCCTGCCCATGCTGCAGCAGAGTCCTGCCTCGCTACCCCTGCCCGGGGTGCAGCAGGTGAATGGCCTGGCCAGGGTGGCAGGCAGCGGGCTGGGGGGAGGCACCACGGCCAGCCACAGCCTCTCCACGGTGCCCATGGTGGACGGCCTGATGGGGACCCTGGCAGGAGGCCAGCAGATGCCCATCAACGGGATCCTGGGGAATCTGAACGGAGCTCAGGCCACCCAGCCTCCGAGCGCGCTGACGCAGGCGAGCGGGCCTCCGACCTTGCAGCTCTCCACCAGCCTGAGCAGGTGAGGACGGGGAGCTCGCGGGGACGGCCCTGCCCTCTCCATCAGAAGCTTAGCACCGGGAGGGAGGGAGGCCCTGTGTGTACAGGACCAAGGCGGGCTGTGCTGATTTTCCCTGCCCTGCTCCCCTCGCAGCGTGCCCAGCCTGAGTCCCCTGACAGAGCAGCAGCGGCACGTCTTGCACCAACACGAACAGCAGCTCCAGCAGCTCCAGCAGCTCCTGACTTCTCAACCGCTTAATCCGGTAAGTGTGCCTGCTGGCACCTTTTATCTGATGAACTGTTTAATGAGAAAGCCTCGGAGCAGGGAGCAGAAAGTACGGCTCCCTCCTACACACGACCCCCCTTGCCCAGGGGGCTGCGGCGTCACGTGCTCTTCCCCTGTCTCGGGGCTGCGGTGGGTGCAGTGAGAAGAAAAGCTTTAGGCAGGAAGGTGCGGCACCTCCTGGAGGGGGGAGATGGGGATTTGCAATTTTTTGTACAAAGGAAAAAATTTAATCTGGGTTTCCCACATCCTGAGGGTGTGAGAACGTGGTAACGCTAAGCCTCCGTAAAATCAGGAGTGCTGTTACCTCCTCCAGACATCTCTGAATGCAAATCATGTCTGCTCCTGCTGCCACGAGAGCACCGAGCTCGGGGCTTGCAGATGTGCTGAGGCTCACAGGAGAGAAGGAACTTGCTTGAGGACACTGCTCGAGTTTAGGACGAGATAAGCACCAAATTACTGAGCCCTGCGGCTCGTGAGTGTGCTTGGGCACATGGGCAAAGAGAAGGAGAGGTGGCAGGGGGACTTGTGGAGGTGGCCGAGGACTTTGGGGTCAGAAAAAGGATCAGGCAGCCCCATTGCAGGCTGCTGTGGGAAAGGCTGCACAGGCGGATGGTAAACAAGTCCCTAAGAGCTGCATTCACTCACCCTGCAGAAACCTCGGCGCTGTCCCTCCCCTGCGGTGGAGCTGCATGGCAGCGCTAACGCCGTCAATGAAGCCGTGTGCATTTATATCTCCCTTGGACGTGGCCCAGTGTTTGGGATAGGTTTCTGGGTCAGGCTATTTATAACCGAGGAAAAGCAAATTTCAAAAGGCTTCTCTTTTCAGCGGCTGATGTCACCGTGTCATCAGCTGCATCCCTATGGGTATGGAAACAATGTCAGCCCTCAGCCTGCCATTTCGGTCGATGGTTGCCATAGTGATTTCCTGCAATTTGGTGGGATTTGAGGGCGTCCCTCTGGGCGCAGGTGAGCTGTGGCCCTCATCCCCCTGTCCTGCTCACCTGCACTGACTCTGTGGGACAGGGCTGAGCTGTGAAGCAGGGCAGACTGGGGAAAAAAAAACAAAAAACAAAAAAACAGCAGCCAGCACAGAAATCCAGGTCAGTGTATACCCCAGATTTAAAATCCACGGATCAGTTGTCTGGAAAGGGCTGAGTAGATCAGTGTGCCTGCAGGTGTCTCAGTGAGGGTCAGCTAATCCCACGCTTCAGGAAGCAGTGGGGCTGGGCAGGGCAGAAGCACAGCGTGTTAATGAACCTCTCAGGCTGTTCCTCTCTCTACCTGTAGATAGATGAGGAAGGGGACTTTCTCTGCGCTGCCAGTTCAGTGCCTGGGGCGGAGCGTGCTGCTCTGGCTCCTTTGGGTTAGGTGTCACCTCTTCCTGAGCCCTTTGTCCCTCCCCTGACGGCTCTTCTCGCCCTTCCCTGCAGGAGCAGCAGGCCCTGGTGTTCCAGATGATGCAGCAAATCCAGCAGAAGAGGGAGCTGCAGCGGCTGCAGATGACGAGCTCGTCCCAGCTGTCCATGAGCAGCCTCCTGGCGGCCACCTCTGCCCCCCTCCTGCACTCCAGCACCAGCGCCCTGATGACCTCGGCCCCCCAGGCGCCCCCCAGCAGCAGCTCCCTCATGGCCTCCCTCTCCCCCCAGCAGCTCAACCCTAGCAATGCCCTCCTGGCTCCGCAGGCCACCCCGCCACTCAGCGCTCCTGGGAACAGCCTCATGGCTTCGGGGACAGGCATCCCACCTGTCCTTACAGCACAGACTAACCCGTTTCTCAACCTGCAGGCTGATGGCAACACCCCAAAAGGAACGGTGCGTATGCTGCTAGCGCTACCCTAACCCCAGCGAGCTCGTGGTGCTAGGCGCTGTGCAGACCCGGGGAGAGGCAGTCTGCGCCGCAGTTAACGGGGGAACGAGGGCACCGCGTAGGCAACAGAGCCAGAATCCTCCACTGGCTTTGCTCCATCCCTCACTAGCCCGTGTCACGGCCTGATCCGACCTCCGTGGACTTCTGTAAGGCCCAGGCAGGGTCAGGTAGGCACAGAGCTCCCGGGGTGCCCTTCCCTGTGTGCACGCGGGCGCAGACACACACCAGACCTGCTGCAGGAGCGAGGCAGAGGCAGGCCGTAGATTTGTCTCCGTTGACCCTAAGACTTGGATGGGCAGCGTGCCCCTTGCAGTGCTGGCCCTGTTAGGGCCTCGCGATGAGATGTAAAGGTGACTGCATGTTGAAACCCAGGGTTTAGAAGGCATCTCGCACCTGAGAGGAGAGGTGGTGGAGGTGTGGAGAGGTCTGCAGCCTCTCCGTAAAGCACCCTTGTCCTGGAACACCAGCGTCTAGGGACTGATGGTGTGGTACTTTTGCCTGTCCTTCATCCTCCCCTGGCCCGTACCAGTTCCCAGAAGGTCCAGTCCTGGCTGGAGACACTTAGGAGCCAAAGGCCAGGGACGAGGGGCCTGTTTGGCCTGAACCGGGCAGAGGGGAAGCCTGGGGCTCCCGTGTCTCCGATGATCTCGGTGGCGCCCGAGAGGTCGCGGTGAGCAGGGCCAGGTCAGCAGCACAGCAGAGCTATCTGCTTCTGCCCCCTCGTGTCGCTGCCTGTCCAGTACTGATACCTGTCTCCTCTGCGTCTCTTTTTCTGTTTGTTTTTTAAAGAGCATGAATGAAAAGGGAGCTCCTCTTACCCAGGACAAGGGCTAAGCTCCCCCCTCACCCCGAACAAACCAGCAGCCAACTCCTCTCAGCCAGGGGAATGTGGCTTTCCACAGTCAGCAACTTTGATACTGTTAGAGCAATGAGCACAAGGCTTCCAAGAAGCATTTCCTGCCGCTGGGCAATGCCAAGAGGTGCTTTGGAAGACAGTAACGTCTCTGACCAAGCCCTGGCATCGGGAGGAGCGAAGGCGGGGGGCAGCCTGCCGCGCTGGGCTGTGCCACACATGCTCAAAGTGAAGCTGTGTTTCCACGCAGAGTGGAGGAGAGCTAACGCCAGCTGCCTGCCGGGAGTGCAAGCGTGTGTGTACGTGCGTGTAGCCCCCAGGCCGAGGCCCTAGAGACCATCGAGCACCCTTGGCCAAGACCTTGGTGGAGGGAGGCCCCTCTGCTGAGGACTCTTTTCGGCACGGTGCAGAGAGGAATCTGGCAGTGCCCTCGGAGGCAGCCCTGGACGTGCCACGGCTGGGGAAGTGGGACGTGGTGGCAGTGCCCCCGTGGTCTGCTTCACCCAGATGGGGAGGCTGAGAAGAAGCCCCCGCAGCTGAGGTTTCTCAACTGCTTCTCATCTGCTGGGCTCTTAGGATGCTGTTGTCTCTGTAGCCATCGTACGATGCCCCTGCACGCCAGCTGGATCCGTACCTAGCCTGAAAAGACACGAGTGGTGGAGCGATGGGGAAGGATCGGTGCTTGGGGAGGTGAAAGCCACCAACGTCTTTAAAGGACATTGCCACGTCTGCTCACAAGCTGCTGTTGGGTCGGTGCTGTACGTTTCCCGTGAAAAGCACACTCCTGCTCCTCCTGCCGTCTTTCAGTCTACTTCCAAGATTTCCAAAGCCTAAAATTTCAGCTTGCAAAAAAAAGGGGCCGTAGCCAGTATTACCCTTACCATAGCCAACTTCAGAAGGTGCGTTTGAACCTGGCACTTGTTTCCTAGGCTAAGCTGGGCGATAGAAATGTGTGTGTGTGGAAAAGACAGTCCCAGATCTGGTACCTGTTCATCCTTACCCACCACAAATCATTCCAGTCTGGCAAAAAAAAAAAAAAAAAGAAAAAAAAAAGAAAAGAAAAACAAGAAAAACCTACCAACGTTCTTCCACTGATCTTGGGCACTTGAGAAAAGGGATCTCCGAGCAATGGGACAACCTCCCAAGCTGGGACATCGGACCCTTCGCTGTTTTCCACCTCTTGACCTTAACTCCTCCGTCTTGCAGCCTGGAACCTCGGCAAAGGCAGCGGCTTCCTGTGAGCTGGGATGCGATGGATTGATTGAAGGACAGGTGGGGCTGCCCCGAGGGAAGGGGAACATCTACGTCAAACGTACGCGTGCCCCTTTGCCTTGTCCCCTGGCTAAATGCAGAGCTCTGGTGGGTGGGGGCAGGCGCGAAGACTCCAGCAAACAGAAACTCTGAGGGTCTTAAAAAATAATAATAATAACTGTCAGACCTTAACAACCATTTTTCAGCACATTCCCACTGCCCCTAACTGGTTTGCACTATTCAAATTTGTCAGCAGTGGGGCTGTGCTGATAGTACTAGGGAAGCTTGTGATAGGCAAAAACTCATCTGCTAAATCTTTCATCCTTTTTTGTTTTGTTACTTTTGTTTGGAGGATTATCACCACCATGGCTGGGTAAGGCTAAAACAAGAGGAAGACCCTTTTTGATCTCAGCCTCTCGTTCTGTGAACTGGGCAGAACACTGCTGTCTGCTCAGAAATATATATATTATATATATATAATTTTTTTTAATACAGAAAAGCTAATGTTTTAACAAGGTTAAGAAGCTATTGGCAAGATGCAGATGGCAGCTAAAAGTGAAAATACAGGAAAAAAAAAAAGTCTCCTTCCCTCCCTCCTGGTCTCTGCAGCCTAGCGAGGAGCAGCTGAAGCGTGGCTCCTGCTGATGCTCCCCATCCCCAGCCATCGTGTTGTGGGCTGAGCCGTGCCCCTGTCCGTCAACCCAATCCTTACAAAATGTGAATGAGATCTTTCAGCTTCAAATGGTTTGACTCCAATCCTGGCTCCCCATCCCTGAAATTTCCTCTGGCACAGTCGTGTGCTTGCACTTTTTTTTTATTCCCCCTTCCCCAAACAGCCACGCTGTGCCCCCGCTCCTCTGTGAGCATCGGTGCCACAGCCAATTCCGAGGCTGCCGTGCTAAATTCAGCCCTGCCGTGCCCCCCGTGTGTGTGTGATGGCTGCAGGCAGGTGAGGCCCAGACCCGCCAACCTCCGTGCACCAGGTCCGTGGGAGTCAGGAGCAGCTGAGCCCAGCGACGAGCACGGGTCTGGGTCAGCAGGATGATGGACAGGAGGGCTAGGGGTACAGCAGCGGCTCTTAAATCTGCAGATGTGATAGCTGCCAGCCAGCTGCTTGCCCAGCTGGGTTTGTCTGGGTTTGAGTTGTGTTCTCTTTTTTTTTTTTTTTCCATTTTTTTTTCTTTTTTTATTTTTTTCTGGAAGATCCCAAACTCGAGTTGCCACCTGTTGTGCTGTCATGCTTACCAGCAGCACAGCCTTCAGCCTGCTTGGGAACCACCGGGACCTGACGTCGTGTCCAGACCTGGTCAAACTGTTCCAAAATTTAACCGCATTTCACGCCCTGGGATTAACGAGCTGGGAGTGGGAGCAGAGGGGATGGAGGCGGGGAGGCTGCTTAACGGCTGTCCCCAGAGCAAGTTGTCTCCTAGGACAAATAGAAACCTTGTTCAGATCAGTGGGATGGTGCCCAAATCCCTGGGTGACAGCAGAAAGGTGGCAGGGGGTCGGCAAGAGGTACGTGAGGAAGGTGAGCGCGCAGTCGGGGCTGGAACGCGCCGCACGAGCCCTGCAATGCTGCTGGGAAGACACCCGGGGAGCCCACCCGGTGGAAGAGGTTGGAAATCGAGGACTGAATTCAAGGACTGTGCTCGTGGACAGGATCTCTGCTAAAAGCAGGAGGGGCTGAGCTATGCTGCGGTCCTGGGTCCCTGCTCCTGCTGGGCACGTCCCCGCGTTCGCTTGTGGCGCTGGTTGGAGCGCGAAGCCGCTCTCCGGGACCCACGGGGACGAGGCTGGAGCTGACGAGGGGGGGAAGAGGCATTCAGATAGCACTTACACATTTCTCCGACCTCTTCCAAAGGCGCCCGGCCCCTTCGAAGCGTGCTCCTCCTCGTCAAATCGCCTCGACCTGCCCCAGAGCCAAAGGTGCCTTTGGCAGCCCGAGGGGAGCAGGAGGGTCGCTGCCGGAGGGGCCGCCGCCGAGCACCCGCATCTGGAAAGGAGGAGCAGGGGAAAGAGAAATAAAAGCTAAAGATTATCTGTGTTTCAGTTGCACTGGGGTACGTTTCTTTACCCGTTTTGATGCTAATGTCTCATTTAGTATGTTGCATGTGTCTTTTTTGTTTTGATTTGTTTTTTATTAAATAAAAGAGAAAAATGTGTATATTTTTGGCAATTTAAGGTAATGTAGCTAAGATATATTTTTTTCACGCTGCTTGACTGTTCTTTATTATAATAAATAATATTAATATTAACATCCAAGACTTTTTAATGCAGTTAGGGTTTTGGCATTGGAAAAAGAATGAGGTCTGGGTGAGGAACCCCCACCTGGGTGCTGTGCTGTCCGCGGGCTGAGGTGCACGGGCAGGGTTTCTGCCTCTGCTGGCCTTGCACCTCGCGAGGCAGAGTTTGCCACACAAAGCCTGGGCTTGCAGAGTTGGACCATCGAAGGCTTTGGGTCGTTGTAGGAGTTACTTGGAGGGAGAAGCAGGTTTGGTGCCTGCATCTGAGGACTCGGTTGCTGTCTGCTGTGGCCGGTAGCTGCAAAGCCTCCTCTTGGTGCCCAGAACCGCCGGGCCTGGAGCAGATCCCCACCGATGTAAGGGGTTGCTGCGGGCGGAGAGCGGCTTGTGCCAGCTGAGGAACTTGTCCTCTGGTTTCTCAGACTGGAAGGAAATGCGGTGCTTCTGCTTCGGTCCTTTGGTGTGGCAGTGGTGGGAGAGGAGCCCAGCACGGGAGGAAACCCGCTGGGGAGCTGGCAGGCAGCGTGCGGGCGCTCGGTGCCAGGGCGCAGGCTGGGAGGGAGGCACGGGGGCTGCTCATGGAGCACCAGGGGCCCGGATCCAGTTCTGCTGTGTTTCTTGGAGCCCTGAAGCACAAAGAGGCTGACTATTTCTGCAGCGTTGGGTTGGTTTGTTCCTGGCATGGTTCTTCTCTTTCCACTGCTTAGCTCTCGGTAGCATTTCTGTTCCTGTTTTGCAAGGAGGGGGCTGGAGAGGCAAGAAAGGATGGCACTGAGCTTTGTTCCGTGGTTCTGTGATGGATAAGCAGGTCGTGGCATCTTCTTGGACCAGGATAATGGGAGAAATATATCTACAGCAGGTGCATGAAATGTATCTGTCCAAGCAACCCCATGCAGCGCCCCTCTCTTCTACAGCCCTTAGCTCCTGCAGGCTCTGCCGCTGGTCCCTCCCAGCCACTCACCAGTGTCACCAGACGTGGCTCTTGTACCCACAGTGGCTGTCTCGGTCCTGGACACCACGGAGCCTCATTTTTTCCCCCGTTTCCACACTGGCAGGCGTGCTGTAGCCACAAACCAGCTGCCCTGGCTGGCTGGGGCTGGTTCCGACTCCGGCGCTGTCCCTGCAGAGCGCACGGATGCAGATGGCTCGAGCCCCTTGGCTGCCTCCCAAAGACAACATAGACATAGACGAGGTCTTCTCGTGTGCTCGGTAGAGGACTCCAGGGGGGGACATACCAAGCAGCTGATATCATACTCTTCGGGGTGAAATGTTCAGGCCAGTTGGCAGGGTGAGAGGTGACCGACATGCCTGAAGCAAGCGGGGCCGCGGGCCGCTGCGGTGCTGGAGTGGGTCCCTCGGGAGCTCAGAACAGGCTGCAGTTGTTTCGTGTGACCGGAGGATTGGCTCGGGATGCAGATGCTCTCCTGCTGCACAGGCCTGGAGAAAGGGACATGTGCCGGGGGGCTTCTCTGCTCAGCACAAGCCCCTCAGTTGGTCTAAACCTCCCTCTCCTCTCCGAAGGGGAGCGCAGCCACGGCTGCGTCAGGGGCCAGCTGCACAAGAGCAGCAACGCCGGCTGCTCCCAAAGCCTTTCAAGTTAAAGCCGGGTTTGTTTGCACACCTCTACACCAGATGGTGATAAGGGCATCGCTCTGTTTTATGTTTGCACTTAAAGACACCTGCATCGCCCGTCCAATTCCAGCCCGATGGGGCTGAGCAGGCACCGCTGTGCCCCAGGCGCTTTGTTCAAGGGCTCTGTCCCAGCCCAGCACGTTTCAGGGCCGGCAGCTCACGCCGCTCTCTTATTTACCATTGCCCTTGGTGTATGCTGCACCGTGCGGTTTCTTAAGCCCACATAAGTAAAAATAATCAAGTGCCTGTGATCAAAAAAGCCTTGAGGCGGGGAGCTGAACGTGTCCCTGGTGCCTCTCCTGTGCTCGTGGAGTTGTGAAGGCTGCGGGTGTCACCTTCACGGCCAGGGGGGAGGCCGCAATAATCTCAATGGTAACTCACAGCAGCAGGTCTGCAACCGCAGCTCAGAGGTGTCCCCTCCTCACCCATTTTTCCAGGTGGAGCAGCAGAGGCACGGAGGAGGAATCTGCTCAGGAGCCAGCTCTGCCACGCTTCGATCTGCCTGGAGAAGGGACGCTGGCTCCGCAGGACCCATGGGGCCAAGGCTCCTGGGTGTCCGCAGGGCTTCAGTCCTGCAGGGAAGCTTCTTGGGACGGGAGAGCAGAGGCAGCCACAGAGCTTGTAAGCGTGCTAGCACAGCTGCTGCCCTTCTGGTCCTTCTGACAGCGCTGATGGACGAAGCCCAGCTCCAGCTGTGCCTCTCCGTGCCCCGCAGGGCGCTCGCAGCTGTGCAGGGGCAGTGAGGGCAGGAGCAGCTTTTGCTTTAGCTCCGGGGGTTTTACGTGAGAACCCTCGGTACAGAAAATCCCCCCCCAAAACCGGGGCATCGCCGTGGAGCTGCAGCTGCTGCCAGGACGGGGCTCTTGGATGGAGCCCCCTGGTGCTGCGCTCAGGGCTCGGACCAGGCACGGCTGCACCCCCCTGCCCCCATTTCTCCCCTCGCTGCCCGCACAGGTCCCTCCCGCAAGCCCACAGGTAGTGAAGGTGCTGGGTGCCCCCGGGGGGGGGCAGCAGCAGCACCCCCGGACCCGATCGTGATCGCGCCCCCCCCCGTGGTTGCGGCCATCTGCGGGGGCTCAATCACGGCGGCTGGCAGCAGAGCGGCGTCCCCCGGGGGTTAAACGTTAAAAAAAAAAAAATAGGAAAAAAGGAAAAAAAAAAAAAAACGGAAAAAAAAAAAAAAAAGGAAAGGGGGGGGAACTCAATGTCCCTCCCCCTGCCCCCCCGGTCTCTTCCGGCGGGGCGGGGCGAGGCGGAGCCGGCCAGGGGGGGTGCCCGGGGGGGGGGGCGCTAGGGTCATGCTGCGGCTGGGGGCGGTGGCGCTGCGGGTGCTGCTGGGGGGCCGGGCTCGGGCCCCCCCGGGGGCTCTGCGCAGCCCCGCGCTCTCCTCTGCCCCCTCCGCCCCCTCCTCCGCCCCCCCGCAGCCGCTGGTGGTGGAGCTGAAGGCGGGGAAGAAATACGCGTGGTGCTCCTGCGGGCACAGCAAGACGCAGGTCGGGCTCGGGGCGGGGGGAGGGAGCCCCCGCGACCCCCCGCGACCCCCCCGCTTCCCCCCAAATCCCCTCCATCCCCCTTTGACCCCCCCCAATCCCCCCATACACAGCGCGGGGTCGCGGCAGCGGGGACCTGGGAAGGGGGGGGGGGGACGAGACGCGGGGTCCCTCGGGGCCGCTCGGGGCGGGGGCAGCAGCGGGACCCCCCCCCCAAGTGCTTCCCCCCCTTGTCCCCCGCAGCCTTTCTGCGACGGCTCGCACCGGACGGCGGCCCCCGGGGTGTCCCCGCTGCGTTTCACGGCCGAGGCGGACGGGGCGGCCCCGCTGTGCGCCTGCAAACGCACCCGAACCCCCCCCTTCTGCGACGGCAGCCACCGGGAGCAGGCGGCCCCCCCCGGCCCCCAGCCCTGAGCACGGCCCCGCTGCGGAAACTCGGCCCCGACGGGGGTCACGGAGGCTGGGAAACGAAACCTCCCCCCCCCCCGGGACCGGGAGCAGCAGGGAGCTGGGGGGCACCCCCCCGGCCCCCCCCCCCGGGAGCTGGGTCCCTCAGACGCAGCCGGGTGCCTGGCAATCTGCAGCATTTATTCCATGTACAAAGCTGTCGTGATACAAATGTTTAACCAATGTCGATATATGGGTATCAGAATATCTTACAGGACATTAAAACGCCGTACAGGATGCAAACATACAGAGCAGTTTGGGTTTGTACCATACAGGAAAAAAACGAAACAAAAACAACCCCCCCCCCCAGAGCCCCCACACAAACCCCCCAGCCCGAGGCACTGCAGCTGCCTCCCTCAGTCCATTTTAACCTATTTACAAGAAAAGGGGTGCCAAAAGCGAGACGAACGCAGCCCCCCCCACACGCTTCGAGCCCCAGCCGGGGATGGGGAAGAGACAAGAAACAACCGGGGCCCATCCCCAGCACCCACAGGTGGGGAGCCCGGGGCTGTGCTACAGCAAAGGTGCCTCCGAGTCCGTGCTGGGGGTGTGCTGCTTAAAAACACACAGAACACAACAGGAACACCCCCCCCCCCCCGCGTCCTGACCTTTGGAGCCGGGCTGTCCACGCAATTCCCGAGCCGCTTTCCTTTGGTTCTCACCGTGCCCACGCTGCCGGCTGCTGTCCGGGCGCTGCAGGCACTTGCTTGGTTTTTGTCACTCGTCCCCCAACCCAGCGAGGTGAGAGGGGGGGAGATAAACCCCCAGGGTCTGCGCTCCCCGGGGCTCCTGTGCTTTTTTTTTTTTTTTTTTGTGGCTGTGAAGTTGGTCCCCTCCCCGGAGCGCGCGGTGCCGGTGCTGCGCGGCTCCTGCCCGAACCAGCAGCGCCTTCCCACGCTTCCCCTCCCCGAGCCTCCTGGCTAAAGGCACTGTAGTCATTTTTTTTATTTTTTATTTTAAAATCCAATGTGGGGGCAGGAGGAAAGGGTGGGAAGGACAGAGGGGAAAAAAGCTCTGAAATGGGGCGAAGCTGTGGACGTTTTGCCAGGGGGCCGGTGGCGCAGGGGGTCCCATGGGTGCAGGCGGCTCCTGGCCCCGCGTCCCCCCGGCTGGGTGCTGCCCCCACCACGTAGCTGCCTGGCCACAGGCGCACCCAGGGAGGTGGCAGCTCCCTTGGCAAGGAAAAATCCAATATTCACTGGGGCTTGTGCTCCTAAACCCCCCCCGGTACGGCTGGCCCTTCAGCATCAGGGCCCAAGTGTAGTTTTTTTTTAGCTGGGAATAAAAAAAGAAACTACTTACTGTGCAGAAAGGGAGGCGTCTGTGTAAGGCTTTGCTAGATCAGAGCCTGAAACAACGTCCAGAGACCACACAGGGAAAGCACAAAAGAAACAGAAACGTGCATGGCAAGGCAAAGCAGGGTGGGCAACACCGGCAAGGGACGCTCGGGCACCACGTTACTGAGCCTGGTGCAAAAAGAAAACCCACGGAAAAGCAAAAAAAAAAAATCTCAGGGCACAGCGGGGCTGGGGGCACGCGGACACGGAGCAGCTCCCCCTGCGCTGCCAGAGCCCAGCGGAGCCGAGGCAGCCGGGGGCAGTTTTTGGCTTCTGTGCTTGGCCCTTACCTGTGCTTAGCCCTTACCTGTGCGTCCTGCAGGCCCTGCTCGCCGCCCCGTCTCTCTCCGAGCGGGCACGAGGGGAGAGGGGTGGGGAGGAGAAGGGAAAAGCGTTAGAGAGAATGAGCAGGGCAGGCGGCGGCGCCTGCGTGGCTCCCAGCTCCGGCATGCAGCTTCCATAAGTTAAAATTAAAAAAAGCAAAAAAAAAAAAAAAAGCATTTAAAAATATTCAACCACATTTATGTGTCTTATTTGCATTTTAAATTAATCTGGTCAATCAATAGAAAATAAGTATGTATAATTCTTTTTCTCCCTATGTACACATAGATATTTATATATGTATATATATAATATATATAGATATATAAAACCCAGCCAGGCGTCCCTGGTTTGTTGGTTTTTGTTGGTTTCTGGTGTGTTTTTTTTTTTTTTTTTCCCCTTTTTAGGTCAAGGCGGAGGCCGTGCTGCCATTGACAGTCGTTTTGCGGCACCGGCTGGCGGCGGGGGGCAGCGGGTGGCAGTTCGAGGAGGAGCCGTTGAGCGCGGGGCCGGGGCCGCTGCCGGCGGTGGAGCTGGGGGAGCCGTGGGACGGCGTCCCGGGGCTGGGCAGCGAGGACGAGGTGGCGGGCAGCGTGGCGGGGCTGTGGGCTTTGTCGCTGACCGACTCGCACTCGGAGGCGCCGCTGGTGTTGGTGCACTCGGAGGTGGCCGGCTGGGACAGCTTGAGCCGCTTGCAGGCGGGCTGGACGCGGTATTTCAGCGGCAGGGGCCCGTTCTGCAGGGGGGGAGAGGGGCAGGAGAGCACCCGCGGGCCCCCCAGGAGCTGCGGGTGGGAACTGGCCTCCAGGAAACACCTCCCTAAGGCATGGAGGTATCTGGGGGGTTAATTTTTTTGTAGATGCTCCATTTTTTAAGTTTTCCAATTGTTACATTTTCCAATGGCTCAGGTTTCCAATTGGTAGGGCTTCCAATTGGTAGGCGTTCCATTTTTTATGTTTTCCAATTGTTACGTTTCCCAATTGTTAAGTTTTCCAATTACTCGATTTTCCATTTTTTAAGTTTTCCAGTTGTTAAGTTTTCCAATGATTAGATTTTCCATTTTTAAATTTTCCAATGATTCGATTTTCCATTTTTTAAGTTTTCCCATTGTTAGGTTTTCCAGTTGTTAGGTTTTCCATTTTTTTTAAGTTTTCCATTTTTTTTAAGTTTCCCAGCGCCATTTGCCTTCACCTCCAGGAGCCCTTTTCCAAGCTTTTCTCCAAGAGGAGCCCTGGCAGCTGCAGCCCGCGGCGGGGAAGGGGGCGGCTGCGCTTACCCTCCTCCAGGGGTAGATGTAGGCGATGTCCATCAGGGTGTAATACTCCCGCAGGGGCTCGTCTTCGTAGAGGACTTCCACCTGGCAAAAGGACAGCATCAGAGCCACCAAGGGGACATCGGGGTTTTGCTCCGGGGGCTGCTGGGGCTCCCAGCGCCGTCCTGGCCAGCAGCCAGAGCAAACCCCCAGTTTATGTTACGCACGCTGCCAGCGGGGGATGCGACACGGGACGGCCCCCCCCGGACCCGCACACCCCGCGGGGGGCTCGCGCCCACCTTGTACTTGCTGGGAACGTCCATCTTGTTGCGCAGGAACTTGGCCAGGTGCATGACCGTCATCGCGGCGGGACAGCGCAGGAACCGCACCCCGTTCTTCTGGGGACACAGCAAGGGGGGGGTACAAGGGAGAGGCATCGCTGAGAGCCCACCCGCGGGTGGGGGCAGCTCCCACCCCCCTCAGCAGGCGGCCTGGGGGCGCCCCCCTCTCCCCCCACCATCCCGATGTGGCTGCGCACGGAGCTCGCCGTGCCTTGGCCCCACGCGCTCACCTTGTCCTTCTCCAGGTCCCCGTTCTCGATGCTCCCTTTCTTCTCCTCCCTGGGGGGCAGGAAAGCAAACGCGGGACAAAGTCACAGGAGAAGGAAGAAGGCAGAAGAGAGAGAAAAAAAAAAAACAAAAAAAAAAACACCAACAAAACCAACCCCCCAGAAGAGCAGCCCATGGTGGGGCCACGATGGGAAGCACCTTGGAGAGCTGCAGCCGGGCTCTCAGCTTTGCCCCCCCGGCCATGCCCATGCACACATTGATGCATTTCCCATACAGCTCCCCAAAACCACATCAGTGTCACTGCCCCAACCCCTCGGAACCACTGCCCCCATCACCACGACCCCCTTGGAGGCCGCCCCTGGTGCCGGGGATGCCGCAGCCTCGGGCTCTGCTGGGTGGGTGGGAGCCCCACGGCCACAGCACCCATGGGAGATAGGGGACGGGGTGTGGGGCAGGGGGTGCTGGCTGCTGCCCCCCTGTCCCAAAGCCAACCCCCAGCCCCGGCAGCGGTTACCTCGTCCCTTCGTAAAACTCTATGGACAGGCTGACGATCTCGTCGTCCGCCAGGTTCCCCTTGTCCTGCTCGGAGACCTCCCCGCGATCCTCGTTGGAGCCGTTGGGAACTGGGGGGCAGGAGGAGGGGGAGGCTGAGCCGCGGCCGGGGGCCGAGCGGGGCTGGGGGCGCCCCCCCCGGGCTGCCACTCACCCTCGGCCATGGGGTAGGCCGCGTAGAAGTCACGCCGCCTCTTCATCTCGTCTGCAAGAGAAGGGGGGAGGAAGGTGGGGGAAAACCCAGCACGGGGCAGGGGGAGAGGAGCAGGGGGGGCGCAGACCCCGGCCCCACTGCCCAGACCCTGTCACTGTCACCAGGGATCAGTGCACGCAGCTGGCACGCAGCTTGGGGCCAGGCTCCCCGAGGGGTGGGATGGATTTAAAACCAACCCCAAACCCGATCTTTTTCCCTCAGTTATAACCACCCGTGCCCGTACCTTTGAAAAGCCCCGGGACCAGCTTGTACACGATATCCTGGAGGGTTTTGTCTGACCTGGGGGGAAAAGAAAAGGAAAAGAGAGAGAAAAATCAGCTGGATTGGGACATCTCCCCCCTCTCTCTCCGTGAAAAATCCCAAATTCTGGCACCCATCCCGCAGCGACAGCTCAGCCCTGCCCTGCAGGAGCAGCCGTGGGCCTGGAGCAAGGCAAGCTCCCCCTGCACCCCCCCAAAGGGTTAACCCTGGAAAAAGAAGGAAAACATCTCAAAAATCCTTGTAATTGCCGAGGATGATGACAGCATCATTTTGGGGCCAGGATCCGTTTCAGTAGTCAAAACTATTACAAAAACACACCAAGAACTTGCAAAAAAAAAAGAAAAAAAAATCTAAGATCAGCAAAATGCTTCTGCAAGTTTTAACTTTTTTTAAAAAAACTCACCAAAGTGAGTTTTTTTGGCTAAAATCTGAGCACCCCCGGGTAAGATCTCCAAAAGCACTCGAGCAGGAGGAGCTCAGGTCCCAGCCCCAGCACCGACCCCGGGGCCGGGGCTTTGCTCAAGGCTTTGGGCTCTGTCTCGCTGCAGGCAGGGCCTTTGGCAGCCTTTAAAAGCTGAATAAAAAAAAATCTCCAAAACAAAGCAAGAGCAGTGGGAATGGTGAAAAGTAAATTATATCTGCAATTATTTCCACTTTAATAATAAGGCCTTTATTTTAAAGGAAAACAAATGACCATAGCAGCCATTCACATATTATTTTTAGCCTAACCACGTCTTTCATCCCTAATTCCTCGGTGATGTCACTCCGGTTCACGAGGCCCCGCTGTGATTTTATTTATAATACGTACCCGGAGAATTTGCTTTATAATTTACAGCGAGCTAATGAAAAAGCAACCTCTGCTGCTTGATTGGCAGCTTAATTACCAGCCGGCCGCTGCTGCTGCATGAGTCAACCGCACCCCGGGCACGCTCAGCATCATGCCCAGCACCCATCGGTGCTGTGATTCACCCCCTTGGCCCCAAATCGCCCAAATGAGGGTGGCCGGGGGCAAGTGGGGTACCAAGGGGACCCTCAATGGCCAGGCTTGGGGCTGCCCCGGCCCCTGTGCCGTGTTCCCATCTGCGCACAGGCAGGGGGGGGCTTTGGTGAGGGAGCCGTGGGAGCCAGAGTGTAAATATTTCATAGTGAACCAGAAAAAAAAAAAAAACATAAAGCGGAAAAAGTGTTACTACAGAAACGGATTTACATGGAAGAGGCTAAAAAAAAAGGAGGAGGAGGGAGGAAAAAAAGAAAAAAAAAAAAAAAAAGCGCCCAGTGATGTATTGCAGCCTTTCATGGTTTCTATGCCAACCACCTGCAGAGCCAATTCCGCCCCGATGGGACGTGTCTGCGTCCCCAGCCTGGCGCGCGCTGGCACGAAGCCCCTGTGCCATGGGCACGGCTTCACCTGCACCGCCACCAGCCCCCCCCCGGTGCCCCCCCAGGGCCACGGCACCGTCCCCACGGGGCGCAGCGCCGGGAGCTGCAGCGCACGGGTGGCCGCAGGTCACAGCGGGGATGGTTTTGGGCAACCCCTGCAGGCACCCGGCCAGCCTCTCCTGGGGGGGGGACACCTTGGTAGTGGGCTCGGAGCCCCCCCCCCGCTCACCTGATGCTGAGGAGGGGCCGGGTTTTGTGCACCTGCACGTCACACATGGGGCAGTACTTGTTGGTCTCCAGGTAGCGCACGATGCAGGTTTTGCAGACTGCGGGGAGAGAGGAGACCTGAGCAAACGGGGAGGGGGGAAAAAAAAACCAAAAAAACGAAAAAACAAAACAAAAAAAAACAAACCAAAACAAAAAAAAAAAAACACCAGCCCCATGCCCCGCACTGACCCCGGGGCAGGACCCTGCTGCCCCTGGCCACAGCCCCGCTGCGGCTTGGGCACGGCTGGGCAGGGGCACCCATGGGTGCCGGGGGGGGGCCCAGACACTCACAGGAGTGCAGGCACTCCACGATGGTGGTGGCGTCGATGAAGTATCCGCCGCACAGGGCGCACATCAGGTGGGGGTTGAGCTCGGTGATCTTTATCCTGGTGGTCCTGTGCATCTTGGAGCAGCGCCGCGGCGGGATCCTCCCTGCAGGGAAATCCCCAAAACAGCCGCTTGGTGCCAGGCCAGGACCCGCAGGACCCCCTTCAGCCTCCGAGGGACAAATCCAGCCTGGGGGTGCTGGGGCTGCCCCAACCCCACACCCCACAGCCCTGGGGGGCAGGAGCAGCCCCCACGCACAGCCCCACGCAGCCCCCACCCAGCTCCCTTGGATGCGGGTTCGCATCTCCTGGTCCCCGAGCGGGTCCTGCCTGCAGCTCCCCGGGCTGTGCACACACACACACACACGTGCACACGCACACACGCACAGGCACGAGCGTATTTTGGGTGAATTCGGTGAAAATGGCATTTCCAGCCACCGCCTCGTGGTTTCTATAGAAACTCCAGGGGATTGGGGCCGGCCACCTGCCCGCGGCCAGGAGCGCACGCGGGCACCTGGGGGGGGCTGAGTGTGCACGGACGAGTGTGCAAAGCTGAGTGTGCAAGGCCAAGTGTGCAAGGCTGAGTGTGCAAGGCCAGGTGTGCACACGGGGCCTCGGGGTGCAGGCATTGTGCCCCCACCAGCACGGGGGGCTGCGGGGAGTCGCTGCCTGCTCCGGACCCTCCGATGGGAGCCGGCGGAGCCGGGCCCCAAAATCGCTGCAGTTTTCCTGTTTCTACGGCAACCCCAATACCTGGAGCGGAGCCAGAGCCTTATTACAACCAGCCCAGGCGGGGAGAGGGGAGAACAAGCCCCGGGTTTGTGTCAATGAGCGTGGGCAGAGCGGTGGCAGTGCCAGGGTGTGCCGCGGTGCACGGCCCCCCCCCGGGTACGCACACGGGGCCCCCCCCGTGCAGCCCCACGTGCACGCAGCTGGAGGCACACGCACACACCTGTGCCCCCCCCGTGCACGCCGGGCTTGCAGCGGTGCCGACACCGAGCCAGGCCCCTCACAAGCACCCCAACACCCCAAAAAAACCACCGTGCCACCCCGCCAGCCCCACAACCGCTGCCGTATGGGGATGGGGTTTGGGGCAAATCCTGTGCCCAGGGAGAAAATGGGGCGCGGGGGGGGCTGCGTGTGCAGGGGGTGCTTGGGGCTGGGTGTGCAAGGCCGGGGCCGTGTCAGGAGCGTGTCCTGGGGAAGCCCCCTCGCGTGCCGCCCCCTCCTCGCGCTCCAGGCTTCTGGGTTTCCGCGCAGGGTCCCCGGAGGCAGGTGCACGGGGACGCCGTGGGGACAGGGATGGGGACGGGGACCACAAGGACACTGCAGCTGCCCCAGCACGGGGCCAAGCGGAGCCCCAGGGGGGGGCTGGCAGCAGGGCTGGGGGCACCGGGGTGGGTCAGCAGCCCCACACCCCGGGGGTCAGCGCTGGGCACCCCCAGGGGACCCCGGCCAGGGGACCCCGGGTGCCACCCCCAGGGGACACGCAGGTGCCCTGCCCCCGGCTGCCCCCGGGCAGGTGCCCCCGACCCCTGCAGCCCCAGGTGAGGGGGGGGGGCACTGGCAGCCCCCTGCTCCCCCCAGCCCGGGGACCGCCAAGGGGGACGGGGGGGCGCAGCTGCCCAGGGCTGCGTTTTGGGTGCGTTTCGATGCTTTTGGTACTTGCAGCCGCCAATGGCGGCCCGGGTCTCCCCGGGAGGGGGGGTGCCGGAGAGTTGGGGGGGGGGAGCCTGAGCCACCGGCGCAAACCGGTTTTAATAAACCCGGGTGATAACAGCCGCGATTTCCTGCCGCGGGGGCGAACAAAGCCCCGGACCCCCCCCCGGACCCTGCCCGGTGCTGGCGGAGCGGCTCCCAACGCCTGCCCCGGGATCGCGCCCCCCCCCCCCCGGGTTTCCTCCCCCCCACCCCAGGTCCCGGCTCTCGGGGTCTTTTGTCTCCGTGGGCGGTGGCCGGGCACGGCGCCCCCCTCCCCAAAACCCCCTCCTGGGGAAGGGCGTTTCAAAGTCACCGCTAACTTGGAGCCTCCCGGCCGCCCCCTGCCCGCGGGACCCCCCCCCCAAAATCCCGGTGCTGCCCTCGCTCTCCCGGCGGCAGCGGAGCCCCCGCGGCCCCCCCGACGGGACCCCCGCCCCTCCCGAGGTCCCGGCACGGCCGCGGGGGGGGTGACACCGGCACGGGGCAGCCACCGGGGGGCGGAACGGGCCGGGTTTTTTTTGGGGGGGGGGGCACGGACACGCGGGGGCGCGCACGGGCACAGCCCCCGGCCCGCGACGGGACGGGAACCGGGACACCCCCGGGCACGGGCACGCGCAGGGCACGGCCACGGGCACGCGCTCAGCGCCCCCCCCCCCCAGCTGCAGCCCCCGCTCCGCTGCTCGGTGCCCGGGGGGGGCCGTTTGGGGCCCGGGGAGGGGGGCGGCGGCGGCGGCGGGGGGGAGCCCCCGGTGCCCCTTTGTGCTCGGCGCCGGCTGACAGCCCGCCCGGGGGGGGGCCCTGGGGCTGTCACCGGTACCCGGTGATGGGGGGGGGGGTGCACCGGAGGGTGTGGGGGGGGGTGGCCGCCCCCCCGGGCCGACGGCGGCACAAAGCGGGGGGAGGCGGCCATCCATCGGCCATCTTGAACGCGGAGAGAAAAGGGCGATGGGGGGGGGGGGAGCCCGGCGGGGGGGGGGTGGGGGGGGGGGCGGCGGGGCCCGGCGGGGGGGGGGCCCGGGGCCCCGTCCCTACCTGGTGGCGGCGGGGGCACCGCGGCCGCCCCTCCGCTGCGCTGCCCCCGGCTGGGCTCGGCGCGGCGCGGCTGGGCTCGGCGCGGCGCTGCGGCCGGGGCCCTTTTTTTTTTTTTTTTTTTTTTTTTTTTTTCCTCTCTCTCTTTTTTTTTTTCCTCTTTCCCTCCCTTCCTCCTCCTTTTTTTTTATTTTTTTTCCTCCTCTTTTTTTTTTTTTTTTTTTTTTTTAATTTTTTTCCCTCCTCCAGCCGCCGCCAGGCCCCGCCCCGCCGCACGTGATCTCATTCCTTTGGGGGTGTTGCGGGGGGGGGGGGGCCCCGTTCTCGGTCCCTCGTTGCCCCCCCCTCACCCCCCCAGCCCTGCCTCCGAGGGGGGGGGCACCGGGGACAGGGCCCCCCATGCGCCCCCCGGGGGACCCGGGCGCGGCGGTGACCCCCTCTCGCTGTGACCCCCCCATTCTGTGCAACCCCCCCCAGTGCTCGGGGAGAAAAGAAAATTGCCCCAAATGCGCCGGAATGGACCCCAAAGCCGGGCCGGGGTGGGGGTGCCCAGCCCCGCAGCACCGAGCGCTCCCCGCGCCCCCCACCCCGGCGGCACCGCCCGGGGAGAGCCCCGGGACCCCCCCCCGGGACCCCCCCGGGACCCCCCCTCGGGACCTGCGGGACCTTCCCGGGGCCGCCGGCGGTCGGTGCTCGGCGGGGCCGGAGGGGAGAGGATGGGAAAGAGAAGGGAAAAATGGGAATAAAAGGGGGAATAAAAGGGGGGGGGGGGGGAGGGAAAATGGAAAAGGAGGGAAGGGAAGAAAGGAAAAGGTGGAAAATAGAAACGGGGGGAAAAAGGAAAGGGGGGGGGGGAAAGGCAGGGAAAAAAAGAAAAAATAAAAAGAAACCCCAGGAAATAAAGAGAGAAAAGAGGGAATGGGCGCGGGGGGGGGCTCCGGCCAGCCCCGATGTCCCACGCGTGTCCCCATCCCGGGTGGGTGCTCCCGGGGGGTGCTCCCAGGATGGATATTCCCGGGTGGGTGCTCTCATGGATGGGTGTTCCAGGGGGGCTGGGTGCTCCCCGGGTGGGTATTCCCGGGGTGGGTGCTCCCAGGTCTGGGTACTCCCTATGGGTGCTCCCCCCGGGTGCCCCCCGTGGGTGCCGCCGGGGCGCTCCCGGGGCGCTCTGGCTCAGTGCGGCGGGCGCAGCGCTGCTCCCCAGCGCGGTCTCTGTGGCGCAATCGGTTAGCGCGTTCGGCTGTTAACCGAAAGGTTGGTGGTTCGAGCCCACCCAGGGACGGGCCGCACCTTTTCCTTCTTCACCCCATTTTTTATTTTTTTTCCCCCCTCCCCACCCGAGTCCAACCCGGCGGAGCCCAGCGCCGGGCAGGGGGGGGATTTTCATTTTGCAAAGCCCCCGGGGGCTTTCCCTGCTCCCCCGCAGCACCAGGGTCCGGTGTCCGGCAGCTCCTTGCCCTCGGACAGGGCTGAGAGGGACCGGGACAGGCTGTGAAGGGGCAGGAGGTGCCCCCCGTGCCCCCCGAGGGGTCACAGCTCGCTCCAGGGGGAAGCTTCCCCGGGTCAGAGGCTGAGCACGACCATTTCTGCTCAGCCTCTGCCCCCTGCCCCCTGCCCCAGGCAGAGACTTGGAAGCGTTTCTACCCAGAGCCTGTATTTTGTTTCAAAAAAAAAGCTGAAGGGGGTCCAGACTCTGCATTGCTGGAGTTCTCCTCTCCTACAAAGTCTTGTAAAATCTATTTATGTTCCCCGCCTGCCCTGATTTTATTTTCGTACCCAAAATAACGCCGTTGGTGTTTCGATGTGGGGCGCGTGGCAGTGCCAGGCGGACCCCCGGTGCCTCCAGCCCAGAGCCACAAACAAGGCTCCCACCGCCGAGCCCAGCGGTGCCAGGGCTGGGGCTGAGGATTTCTGCTCCCATCCAGGTCCGACAGCACGAGGGGCAGAGGTGCCCCCTGGGCATCACCTCCCCGGTACCGCCCGAGCCCCCCGGGGCCTCTGCCGAAATCTGCCTTTGATTCCCGTCTGGTTTTGGTGCTCCTTCTCTCCCCAGCGCGTGGCTCGTTCCTGCCAGGCACAGTGTGGCCTCTGACTTCATTCCCGCAACCTTTTACAATGGAAAACTCTTTAAAAATACAGCAGGCACGGGACAGGCTGAGCCTCGGGGGCTCGGTCCCTGAGCGGGGCCTGCACGGGCCGGAGGTTTTCATTGAAAGCAGGCGGGCTGCTCTGCTCTGCGTTTCAGAGCGTTTCCAAACACATGGATCTCTTTCCCTTTGGCACAACATCACTCCCCTAAATTAAACGTTTAATCCCGTCTCCTCCAGGAGAGGGGAGAGCTGGCGAGCGGGGATGGGGGAGGAAATCCAATACTCTGCAGAGCGCAAATCCCCCTTTCAGTTGCTTTCTGAATAAAAAATACCCCCGCGGCCACTTGCCAGGCCCTTTCCCCTCCCCAGGATGGGCCACAGCTCACTGCTCTACAGAGTGACTTCGTGGTGCTGCCCTTTCCAAAACTGGGCACGTTTGGGCTTTGGCCCCAAGGGCAGAGGGGGGATGCACAAAGCTCAACCCACACAGGGCTGTGCACAGTGAAGCAGGACGGCTTTCCTGGGGTTTTTACTTCAGTTCAGACAAGTTTGGGCAACTTTTCCCAGTGCCAAACAGGAGATGCCGGGGCCACACTGGGCTGAGCTCGGCCGGTCCCAACCTGTCACCCCCTGCTGATCCCGGCTGCACCAGGGACATGGGAATGTGCGGGTGTGCAGGGGACAAGCACGGGGCTGCAGCACAGGGACAGCTCCAGCAGCACCAGGAACCTGCCTGTGAGCTGGGCACTGCCCCTGCATGGATATCCAGCTGTGCAACCATCCAGCTGTGCTCACTGCTTCTGCATGGACACCCCACCGTGCACCCACCCAGCACTGCAACATCCCTGCTCAGCCCCCCGGCTGTTGTGCCAGGTCCTTGCACACCATCCAGCTGTGCAACGCCCTGCACGACCCTCCAGCAGGGTAATACCCCTGTGCCCATCCATCAGTGCCCTCTGCATCCAGCTGTGCCTGCTCCATCCAGCTGTGCACATTACATCCAGCTGTGCATGTTGCATCCAGCTGTGCACACTGCATCCATCTTTGCTCACTGCATCCAGCTGTGCGCACTGCATCCAGCTCTGCATGTTGCATGCAGCTGTGCCCTCTGCTTCCAGCTGTGTGCAGTGCACCCAGTTTTTCGCACTGCATCCAGCTGTGCACATTGCATCCAGCTGTGTGCACTGCACCCATCTCTGCGTGTTGCATGCAGTTGTGTGCATTGCATCCAGCTGTGCTGCACCCAGTTGTTCACACTGCACCCACATGTGCACATTACATCCAGCTGTGCACGTTGCATCCAGTTGTTTGCACTGCATCCAGCTGTTCCCCATTTCCAGCTGTGCCCCCCCCCAGCCTTTCCCGCCGCTCCCCCTCCCCTCGGTCCGCCGCCGTCCCGTCATGCCCCGCTCCCGGTGACTCTTCACTTTTCTCCCCTTGTTGCCCGCCCCCCCTCCAGCCCCGCCCCCCGGCGGGCCCATCCGCCAATGGCGTGCGGCGAGCGGCGAGCGGCGGCCAATGGGAGGAGGAGGGAGGCGGGACGAAGGAGCCGGAGCAGCGGAGGCGGCAGGAGCAGGAGCAGCAGGGCCGGGCCTGGCGGCGGAGCAACGACCGCAACCATG